TGGAAGTATCTAATTTCCCCATCAATTTTGAAAGATAATTTTGCAGGATACAACAGTCTAGGTTAGAAGTTACTTTCTTTTAGGGCTTGAAATACTTCACTTCAGGCTCTCCTTGATTTGAGGGTTTGTGTCGAGAAGTCTGCCATGATTCTGATGGGCTTTCCTTCTCCACCTCTGTCTGGGAAGTTTTCTACTATTCTGTGAACGGGTTTTTTATGTCAATTGTACTTTCTCCTGTTTTTTTGTGGACTCCTATCAGTCTTATGTTATTCCTCTTTGCATCATCTAGCAGCTGCTGGATTGATTTCTCATAGTCCCTATTTTTTTTTTCCCCTTACTATTTTTAAGAAATCTCTGTTTTCATGGTCCTTAACCACAATCCTATCTTGTATTTTTGATATTCTTCTATACCTATATCTGATATTCTCTCTTCACATTCCCTTAATCTGATGTGCATACTTTCAATGGAGTTTTTAATCATGGATTCCATTTCTTATGTTGGGCCATCATGGTTTCCATTTCTTTCTTATGCTGGGCATTCATGGCTTCCAGCATATTTCTGAGCTCATATTTTTTTTTTTATCTGTTTGTGTTCTAGAGCCTCTAATCATGTCTTTCACTCTGCTCACCGTCTCTGTAGTTATCTGGGAGATTATTTCTGCTTTGAATTTTTCTAGAGCCTCATTCATCTGTTTTGTTACTTCCTGAGGTATCAGTTCAGGGTGTCCAGGTGGTTGGTTATCAGACTTTTCCACCTTGTTTCCCCTAGAATTTGCCTTTTGTGGGGTGGAAGTCTGAGTCTGTAACTTGCTTAAATATCTTTTCATTTTTCTTTTTGGTGCTGTCCTTGGTTTAGTTCCTGGGTTGATACTTTGAAGTTGCTTATTGTATCTTTGTTGCTTGTAATTAGCACCCTTATGGAATGATTGCTTCTCAGAGGTGTCTTCCAGATATAGCTGGTCTTTAGGTTTTGAGTCTCTAATGGCTGTGAGCCTGTCTCATTTTCATTATACCAGGAAGGACAACTGACTAGATCAATCACAACACCTTAGCCCAAGTGATACAATCAGCAACACCATGGCATCGAGTACCTCTTAGAAAATGACAATTTGTGGTAGTTATTAATCTATCACCTTTAACTGTGTGAATTAAAGCAAAATCAAGGACCAACCCAATATATGTTTATAGTGAATAAACTCTTCAGTATAGCAACTTTACCCTTCGGGATGGGGCGTTACAAGGAGTTGGGGAGGGAGGGATAGGTAGATAGAAGGATAGGGGAAGGTTAGCAGTGAGGCCAAAGGACACAGGTGAGAGAAGGAAAGAGAAGAAAAGAAAAATAAAGAAGAAATATGAATTGGGGCCAGAACAGGAACACAGAGGGAGCTGAAGAACAATGTGGGACAGCAAGGGAGCAAGGGAGAGAGAGAAAGAAAAGAGAGAAAAGAAAGAAAAAAGAGCAAAAAAAAATAGTGGTAATTCTGAAAATAACAAATCAAAGATAAAAATGAAGGGCCTGCAAGCACAAGGACCCGAGTTCAATCCCTGGTACCAAAAAAAAAAAAAAAATGAAGGGCCTCCTTCAGGGTATGTCTCTGCTGTCACAATAGACAATGTGAGCAGCAGTGTGCAGATATAAGTCAGTGAGTCTCAGTAAGCCAGTCACAGACCCGTGAGATTCAGGCAGATTTCTGGCTACAAGTCCCAAGTTGAGCTCCCTGTCCTCCTGCAGGGTTGAACTCTGCAAGGCTCTACTGCAGGTCCAGCTACTCTTCCCCTGAAGATAGTCCAGGTTCCGATGGGAGGTGATGATCCCTCCAACTTACCAAGTACGGTGGTCTGGTGTGCCTTTATTGCAGACTCCCTTCACTTTTCCAGTGGGCTTCAGTTTTCATCAGGGAGCCTGAGAGAGGCCCTCTCTCTGTTGTTCACATCTGCAGCTCAGGACTATGGCCTTTATGTCCCCCTCTGCCTCTGTAGTGTGAAACCAGGTAGCTGCACAGCTGGCGGGAGGCGGGGGCTGTTGTTTATGCTGGCAGCTGGTGGGCGTGCCCGGGTGTCCTCACCAGCTCCTGGTCGCAAGTGGGCATGGCGAGCCGGACAGAGTAGGGCTGCAGTCAGCCCAGGACCGCTCTGCCCGCACGGCTATGCTGGCCCTCTAACTTTTTAATTCCAAGACTTTCTACATTCTAAAACTGCTGAGGATCTCAAGGAAGTTATGCTTATATGGGTTGTAACTGTCAACATTTTTAGTATCTTTATTTATTGCTTACCTCCTTTAATATAAATGCCACATTTCTATGCAAAATAATTACATCCATCTGGAAAACTGCACTGTACACTTGTGAGAAAATGAGGGCAAAGCAGGCAGATGATGTCTTAGGGTTATGATGGAAACAGTTTTCCTCCCTGACGCCTCTGAAAGGTCTTGTAGCCCCACTTTGAGAGCTCATAAATGACTGAATAAATAAGTGGGAGAGGGAGGGAGCTGTTCTGAACCCCTGAATGCCAACGTTTCCAAGTGTGGAACATAGGATGGGCCATGAAGAATCCAAACTATAGGGCCGGGGATTTAGCTCAGTGGTTCTGCTGCCTGCCCCACAAGCACAAGGACCTGAGTTCGATTTCAATCCCTGGTACCAAAAAAAAAAAAAGAATCCAAACTACAGGCTCACACTTAGTAAGCCATCTCTGTGCCTCAGTTTCCTCATCTGTGAAATGGAGATGATTCCCTCATTCCATCCCATTCAATGTGTGAAGCCAAACGAGACCGAAGGTTTTTATGTTCCACAAATGCAATGTCTAGAACAGCTTGAAAATCACCAAAAACTACCCCTCCTACCTACACATGAAGCAGTGTTCTTTAAACTGGGAACCAGTTAGCAGGTTTCCAAGGACTTCCTGGCTTTGCTGACGGCTGTCTGGGTTTTCTCTGCAGCTGGCCCATGGAGTGCCCTGGCTGGAATACCACTGTGCAGGTGGTTTCTATGGAAACCTCTCCTCCCAGCGCCATGTGAATGACCACGAGTGGCACTCCATCCTGGTGGCGGAGACAGAAACTTCCCTTCGCCTGTCGGTCGACAGCATAGGCAACATCTCCCTTGTTGTCCCGGACACGTGCCAGGCTCTGAGGCCTGAAAGACACCTCGTGCTGGGTGCCCTTGTCCTCTCTCGTTCTTCCTTGAACATTTCCCAGGGCTTTGAGGGCTGCCTGGATGCTGTTGTGGTCAACGGGGAGGGACTAGAGCTGCTGGGCCATGGCAGGAAGACAGCAGGCTTACTGGACAGATGGGCCCTGAGCCGATGCTGTCTGCCCGGAGACCCCTGCAGCCAGAACCCTTGCCTCAACGGTGGGGAGTGCTCACAGACCCTCAGCACAGGTAAGAGCTAGGAGCCAGCAACCTCGATAAGGATGTCACCCAGAAGGACATAATGGCACCCGATGTCAGGTACCTGATTTCTAGACCAATTGAATCAGGATCAAATGAGCTAAAACACAAAGATCCTCACACCAGTGACTAACTGTAAATAAGTGTGGATTATTGTTAGTGCTGTATTCTGTCCATTGCTACTCTTCAGATGCCTGTTTCTCTCCTTGCCTGTAGGTAGTTTAACGCCAGGGACCACTGGTGTTCGGCCAGAGGCGGCCCCATAAACAGTGATGATTAACAGGCGCACGGGTGTGTGGTTTGCACACGTGCCTGCGGTCCCATCTAACTGCCTGGCCAGTGAGCCTTCACCCTCCTGCTCTTTCTCCCAGGCTATATCTGCAAGTGTCCCCCGCTGTTCTCTGGGAAGCACTGTGAACACAGAGAGAACTGTACTTCCACGCCCTGCCCGGAAGGGGGCGCTTGCATCTCCTCCTCTGAAGGAGCTTCCTGTACCTGCCCACACCCGCACATGGGGAACAGGTGAGTACAGGAGAGGCCACCTGCCCCTGGCTCTTCACTCTGGGTGGGGCACTATTAGGGAATGACCTTTTCATTCTGACACCTGGAGATGTCCCTGGGATTCCAGGGACTGAGTGCTGCAGAGAGATGGCCTGTAGGCTTTCCCCCTCTCCTCTGACCACCTGTATCAAAGCACGTTGGGAGGACAGAGGTGCTTTCCCAATCCCTATTCTGAATCCACTGGGTCAGATGCTTGGCCCAGGAATGTATACTCCACAGCAGCTCCTCAGTTCCGATCTTTGCTGAAATCTGAAAATAAGTGGCTGTGCTTGCTTAGCTCCGTGCCTTTCCAGAAAGTAGAAAATACCTCTGCTTGGAACAGGAGCTGCCCGGTCTCACACCCACTGCGAGCTGTCCGTACCTCCTACCATGCTGGCAGTGGGAGTTGTGAGGGAACAAGAATTGTTCTTAGAATCCTAGAGGTTAAGAGATGTTGACAATAAGCTGGTCCTGTGGCTCCCACACTTCGGATCCTTTAAGAAGTCATGAGAGAGACTTGGGAAGAATAGTTTCCCAGATCCCAGCTAGACCAACTAAAAAATCAGAAGTTCCAAGAAAGGGCTTGGATTTTATTTTTAACAAGGGATCTCCTTGCTAACAGCCTGTGTATGAACCAGTGATGAAATCCACCCACCATTTTACAGACAGGGAAACTGAGGCCCAGAGAGACAAAGGGTTTGCCCAAGGTTACTCTACATGTTGCTGATGTGAGTCCTTTCTCTCAGCAACTGTCATTTCCCACCCAAGCCCCTGCCCTGTTTGCCACAGGGAATGCTATTCGTCAGATGTGTGGTGGGGACACATCGTGCCACATGAGGAAAGCAGTGCTTGCATTTTAACAGAGGAACTTGGAAAAAACAACACTGAATCCACAAGAACTGTTGGTGGTGAGATTTCAGGCACTGGGAGATCTTTTGGACTCAGGTTAGGTGGGGAAAGCTTTCCCAGACCCTCTGAAAAGTGCACAAAGGTGAAGCCTGGAAAGACAGCTGAAGAGAGGCACCCAACACTCACCTGCTTCTCCCCAAAGAGGAACCAAAGCAATAGCTAGACAGCTGCATAGGGAGTGGGCAGCACTGGGAGAGTAATACCATTCAACAGTAGGCAAACAGAAACTTTGTAAAACCCAGAGACCCGGGACAGCATCACAGCAAGAAAAACAAGACATCCTGTCACAGGCTGCCCTGGCTGGCTGCATGACGGGGGTAGGAAGGGGTAAAGATGAAAGAGAGTCCCAGCACACTATCAGCACAGATACTGGCGATCCTGAAAGTTTCACAGTCCTTGCAGACTGACAGCCTGAACAGATAAGAGGTCTGCAATCCACACAGTAGTCTGGCTCTGGAAAAGGAGTTAGCTTCACCTCCCAGCAGGCCACCAGAGTGCCGTATCTCCAGTTTGAGGCTGCACTACTTCGGAGGTCAGAAGCCCATGCCTGTTCTCGTCTCTGGGAACCCACACTTTCTGCTGCCCTGGCTCAGTGGGGGCTGCCTCAAGAGCCAGACATGGCTTGGTAGTTACTGTGACACAAACCCACTGAGTGCGCTACTGAATGGGAAGAGGTATTGTGACACAGAGGGGGAGAGGAGGGTGCCGGTCACAACTGGGGAATCGGGGAGCAGTGTGGCAGTTGACTGCGGTCTCACTTGGGTCAGGACTGGGGGCATTGCCCACGCAGTTCCTACCACTGATGTCCCAGGGCTGAGTACAGCAGAGCAAGACCTGAGTCTCCAGAGAGGCATGCCGGGTGGTTTTGAGCGATGCCAGGGTGGCTTAGATCTAGTCCTGCCCCAGGAACAGAGCCTAAGAAGAGCTGGAGAGAAAGTTTCCCAAAGCCAGTCACATTGCACTCTTTCTCTCCATCCTGCGAGTGCCTCGGCTGAGATGAAAATGTCCATCCCCAACTGTGACTTGATCCCTGGCAGGCACTGAAACTGAAAAAATCAGGGGAGAGGGACTGGGGATTTAGCTCCGTGGTTCCACCGCCTGCCTCACAAGCGCAAGGTCCTGAGTTCAATCCCTGGTACCAAAAAAAAAAAAAAAATCGGGGGACAAAAGCCCCCAATCCCTACCTCATGCTTAGGCAGGCATGGCCACAGGGACAGCAGAGAAGAATATTAGAGCTCTTGCTGCCACTGCTCTATGCAGGCCCCCGGTACTGGTTGCCCCCATACCTTGTCTGGTCACGCACTGCTGGCAAGACTGAGTGTGAGTGCCCTAGTGGGGGGCTCTGAGCCCGCCCTCAGCTCTGCCCTGAAGCACCTAGACCCACACCAGCATCTAGTCAGTGGCAGGTGCTTTACACCTCTCACCACTACTGGTGTAACCAGTGCCAGAGACACATTCAAGTAAGAGTCAGCAGACATAGCCAGATACAAATGAAAAGTAAATTTTAAAAAGTCAAGAGCAGGAGTGCCTGAGGAAATCCCCATCATCCCGTAGGGCCACCAGTCCCCCTCTGTAGGAGTGACTGACCACCCAGGGTCTGCGCTCTGGGAGCTACACACCTGCCTGAGCTGCCAGGTGTCCTCACTCTTCTACAACCTGCAGAGTCAGTGGCACCTCAACACCAACATGGTACACACCGCTCAAACTCACCAATCACAGCCTAAGGAGCTACAGTACAGCATCCAACTGAAAATAAAACTCAGCATTGGATAACAATGGTCCCCAAGACAGCCACTTACCAGGAAGGCCCTCCCGTAAAGTGGCAGAGATCCACTTCACCAAATGTGCAAATTCAACATAGACTTAAAAAAAACAAACAATCTGATACCTCCTAAAGTTTATAGCTCTCTAGTAACAGATTCCAAAAATAGTGAAGTGGGTGAAATGCCTCAAAGAATTTTTAAAATGATTAAAAAGCTCACTGAAACCCAAGAGAATACATAAACAGTTAAAAGAAATTAGTAAATGCAAGGTGTAAATGAGCAAAGAGATAGTCTGAAAAAGAACCAATCAGAAATCTTATAAATGAAGACGTCTATACGTCAGATAAAAAAAATTCAGTTGAAAGCCTCAACAATGCACTAGAGCAAGTGGAAGAATCCTGCAGCTTGAAGAAAGGTGTTTTGCAATATCCCATTCAGACAGAAATAAAGAAAACATAATGGAGAACATACCAGATATTTGGACACCCTTAAAAGATCAAACATTCACCTCATCATGAGCATATGTGAAGGGGGAAAAATAAAGGTTAAAGGCATAGAAAAACTATTCAATAAAACCATAGCAGAAAACTTCCCTACTCTGGGAAAGACATGGCATGCAGGTGCAGGAGGCATTCAGAATCCAAATCAACATGATCAGAAAAGTTCCTGATCATAACATTAGTCAAACTGTCAGAAGTATAGGGTAAAGAATTTAAAAATCTGCAACAGAGCCAGGGATGTGGCTCGGTGTCACTGTGCCTGGCTTGCAAGTACAACGTCCTGAGTTCAATCCCTGGAAAAAAATAAAATTAAAATTACGAAAATAAAAATCTGCAACAGAAAAACACAAGTCACATTTAAGTGCAAACACAAAGACTAACAGATTTCTCTGTAGGAATCGTACAACCCAAGGAGGCATGGAATATTTCAAATTCCAAGAAAAAATAACTATTGAATCAAGATTACTATACCTTGCAGAATCCGTCCTTCAGATTGAAGGAGATATAAAGATCTTCCAAGATAAGCAAAAACTCAGGAAATTCGGGCCAAAACAGCCTTACAAAGGATGCTTAAAAGAGGCCAACACTCAGAAGTAGAAGATAACCACCATCATAATCACATGTGACAGTGTAAGTCCCATTGTAAAAGTAGATACGTAAACAAGGAATAGAAGAGAATAACGTTATCCATACAGGAAACCATCAAACTATAAATGAGTCAAGCAAAAAATATTCAAAACCAGAAGAAAATTAATAAAATGATGGACACATGCCTGTATATTTCACTAATAATTCTGAATGTAAATGGTTTTCCTTCACCGGTTAAGAGATACAGACTGAATGGATTAAAAACAAGACCCAATATGCTGCCTACAAGAAACGCACCTCATCAGTAAAGACACACAACTAGAGTGAAATGATGGAAAGTAATATTCCAACCAAATGGAATCTGGTAACAAGCAGGAATAGCTGTATTTATATCTAACAAAACAGACTTTAAGGGAAAATCTGTATGGAGACAGAGAAGGTCACTAATGATCAAGGGATCAGTTTGTCAAGAAGATACAATGGGCCATGTGTGATGGTGCACACCTGTAATCCCAGCACTCTGGGAGGCTGGGGCAAGAGGATGGCAAGTCCAAGCCCAGCCTGGGCAACTTAGCAGCTTAGCCAGTCCCTGTCTCAAAATAAAAAATTAAAAAGAGCTGGTTACATACCTCAGTGCAAAGGCCCTAGGTTCAATCTTCAGTATTAAAAAAAAAAGATATAATGATTATAAAACTATATGTACCTAATAGCATGGCACCTAATTTTATAAAAGAAACACTATTAGACCTAAAGGGAAGGACAAACCCCAATATAATAAAGGGAATTTCAATACCCCACTCTCACCGATGGATAAATAATGTAGACAAGATATCAACAAAGAAGCTTCAGAGTTAAACTACATCTAGACCTTTACAAAAGATTCTCCCCAACTGCAGAATACACGTTCTTCTTTTTGTTAGCACTTGGAACTTCCTGTAGAACGGGCCATGTATTAGGTCACAAAACAAATCTTAACAAATTCAAAGGAATTGAAATCATACCTGTGTCTCTTCTGATCACAATGGAATGAAGCTAAAAATCCACAGCAAGAGAAACATTATAAATCTTTTTTTTTTTTTTCGGTACCAGGGATGGAACTTGGGTCCTTGTGCTTGCGCAGCAGGCGGTGAAACCACTGAGCTAAATCCCCAGCCCAATTATAAATCTTATGTGGAGAATGAATAATGCACTTCTGAATGAATAGTAAGTCACTGAAGAAATCAGAAGAGAAATTTAAAAATTTCCTGAAACCAGTGTAAATGGAAACAACACATCAAAACCTGTGGGGATGTTCAGCAAAGCAGTATTGAAAGTTTATAGCAATAAACAACCTAATGATGCATCTCAAAGTCTTGGAAAAATAAGAACAAACCATACCCAAAATTAGTGGAAGACAGAATTAAACAGCAGAAATAAATAAAATAATGTCTAGAAGAATAATACAAGTTATCAATGAAACAAGCCAAACTGACAAATCTTTACTAGACTAACCAAAAGATAGGCAGAGAGACTCCAGATAAACTACAGCTTAAATAGGAGACTTTACAACTGATACTACAGAAATACAAGGGGTCATTACCGGTTATTTTGATAAACTATATGCTAACAAATTGGAAAATCTAGAAGGAATAGACAAATTTCTGGACACACATGACCTATGAAAGTTGAACCAGAAGGATATTAAAAGAGTAGACTAATAACAATGACATTAAATCAGTAATAAAAACTCTTTCAAAAAAGAAAACCCCAGGGCCAAATGGCTTCACTGCTAAATTTTAGCAAATATTTAAAGAACTAACAGGAGTGTTTCTTAAACTCTTCCATAGAATTGAGGGCCTCATTCTACAAAGCCAGCATCATCCTCTTAACAAAATCTGACAACACAGCAAAATAAAATTTAGAGGAGTGTCCATGATAAACGAATTCAACAGCACATGAAAAAGAGCATATATCATGATTGAGTTGGTTTCATTCCAGAAGTGCAACCATGGTTGACCATGTACAAATACATTTAATACATCACTTAACTAGAATGAAAAATAAAAATCACATGATCATCTCAATAAATGTAGAAAAAGTATTTGTTTTGTTTTTCTGATACCAGGGATTGAACTCGGGTCCTTGTCCTTGCCAGGCAGGCAGCGGAACCACTGAGCTAAATCCCCAGCCCTAGAAAAAGTATTTGATAAAATTCAACATCCCAGGGGCCCGAGATTTAGCTCAGTGGTTCCACTACCTGCCTAGCAAGCGCAAGGTCCCGAGTTCGATCCCCATTATCTAAAAAAGAAGCAATAAAATTCAATATCCTTTCACAATAAAAGCACAGAACATTAAGTAGCAGAGTATGTTTCAACACAATAAAGGCTATGACAAACCCAAAGCCAGTATCGTACTAAATGGAGAAAAACTGAAAACATTTCCTCTAATATCAGGAATAATTCAAGGGTGCCCACTTTCACTGCTTTTATTCAATACTAGAAAATTTAACCAGAAAATTAGGCAAGAAAAAGAAATAAAAGGCATACAAATAGAAAAAGATGTCAGTTATCCTTTTGCAGATTATGATTTTTTTTTTGGTACCAGGGATAGACACATTATGATTCTATACATAGGAAAATGTAGACTTGGGCCAGGGATTTAGCTCAGCGGCACCATGCCTGCCTTACAAGCACAAGGTCCTGAGTTTGATCCTCGGTACCAGAAAAAAAACAGAACAAAACTAGACTTCACCAAGAGACTATTAGAACTCATAAATTCAGTAAAGTAGCAGGATACAAAATCAATATCCCAAAATAAGTAGCTTTTCTATACACCAGTGATGAATTTGCTGAGAAAAAAAAATCATGAAAGCAACCCCAGTCACAATAGTCATACCCAAGGAAAAAGGGGGGCTAGTAATAACTAAGGAAGTAAAAGACTGCCACAGTAGAAATTACAGAACTCCAAAGAAAGAAAGAAGACAGTAAAAGGTGGAAAGACCTCCCATGTTTGTGAACTGGAAAACTGACATTGTTAACATGTCCATACTACCCAAAGTGATCTGCACAGTCACGTAATTTCCCTCAGAATACCAATGACATTCTTCGCAGAACCAGAAAAAATCCTGAAATTCATATGGAAGCACAAAAGACCCCAAATGGCCAAAGCAATCTTGAGCAAAAAGAGCAAAGCTTGAGACAACACAGTACCTGATTTCGAGACATACTACATAACCATAATAAAACACACCAAAACAGACATAGAGACCAACAGGACAGAAGAAAACAGAAATAAACCCATGCATCCACAGCCAACTGATTTTTGACAAAGGAGCTGAAAAGAATAAGATGTTGGTAGAATTTCAGGCACTGGGAGATTTTCTAGCCTCGGGTGAGGTAGGGGAACTTTCCCAGTACAGCATTCCTCAAAAGTGAATACACCTGGCCACACAGGTTTCCTACGAGACTTACACCATGAAATGCCAAACTGAAGATCTGAGGTCATAGGGTTTCAGGTGCTTTTTCTGAGCAAGTCACCCTCTGTCAGATGGCTGATCTGTACAATCCCATGTTGGGTTCCGGTAGGTCGTATGATGCCCAGTCACTATCACCAGGCAACCACTGACTTGTATCTGGGATCCTGAGGTTCTTGCTAGGGGACAACTGGGTATGACCCATGCCTCCACTGCAATAGTATGGTTGGTTGGAAATACTACCTTATTTGTGGAGAGAATATCCACTGCCTAGATCTCGTTGGTGGAAAATAATAGACAGGTCCAGAGCCCACATCCTAAAGGTCATAAGTAGGGATAAAGCTGAAGCTCATACTTTCCCAGGGAAGGATAAAAAGTTCTGACATTGGTGTGTTTGATAACTGACTGTCCGTCCGTCCGTCCATCCATCCATCCATCCATCCATCCATCAGATGGTAATTGGTAAGCCTGAGGCTGAAAGTCTCTATCCCAGACTTTGTGCGAAGACAGGGGAAAGGCAGTGTCATGACTCAGTCTCTGCCCTGATTACTTCTATCCCTGCAGGTGTGAAATGGAGGCAATCGGTTGCTCAGAAGGACACTGCCTAGTCACGCCTGAGATCAAGAGAGGGGACTGGGGACAGCAGGAGCTCCTGATCATCACAGCAGCCACTCTGTTCATCGTCATAACCACTGTTGGACTTCTCTTCTACTGCCGCCACTGCAAGTCTCACAAGCCTGTGGCCATGGAGGACCCAGATCTCCTGGCCAGGAGTGTCGGTGTTGACACCCAAGCCATGGCTGCCATCGAGCTTGACCCCCTGAGCACCAGCTCCTGCCACAACTCGAACCAGCAAGAGCCCAGCAAGGCCGTGGCTCTGAATGAACTCATCACTTTTGGGCCCAGCTCGAAGCACCGGCCGGTGGTCTGCAGTGTGCCTCCCAGGCTCCCTCCAGCTGCACTCGCTTCCCACTCTGACCACGAGGCCATCATCAAGAGAACCTGGTCAGGCGAGGAAATGGGTCAGTACAGCCAGCCACCCTTCACCTTGGGACAGATGGAATGGGGGGTGGACCTGTCTACTCCACTGAGGGACTCCTTGGCCACATTCTGTCCAGTCCCCGAGATGAGAGTGAAGGGATGTATTCAAGGTCCCCATGCACTATGGCTAGAGAAGATGCCGGGTCTCATGACCCAGAGTCTGTGACTCACTGTGCTACCCCAGGGTCCACTCCTCTAAATTCCCGCTCCATAGGATTGATGACCATGGCAGAAACTTGTAGACCTGGATAGGTCTCCATAGAACCCCTAGAATGAACAGGGGTGCACATTGGTGCTTTGCTGGGAAAGGAAAAAGCAGCAGAGGTCCAAGTCTCTGGCCAGGCACTCTGCAGGTGCAGCAACCCTGAGTAAGACTTAGCTGGCTTAGAGGAGGGAACTTCACTCTGATTATTATTTGGGGGGTGGGTACCAGGGATCGAACTCGGGACCTTGCGCTTGTGAGGCAGACACCAGAACCACTGAGCTAAATCCCCAGCCCCTCACTCTCATTATTTTTGATGCAAAAGGAAGTGAATCCATAAAGCACTTGCTCTTTTTCTGGCACATTCTCCAGTCGTTACTAGAAGTATTTTCACTAGTTGCCAGAAGGGCCCAGAAAGATGAAGTGACTTGTTCTCACTCACCCAGCTTTTAGTAGCAGAGACTAGGGCCAGGGACCCCTGATATTTTCTTCCAAGCCGTATCTTACTTCATCCCTGTCCACGACGGAGGCCATCATATCTCCAATCCAAAGTGTGTGTCTGGCTTCCTTCCGTTAGGAGATGAAGCTGGCCCTGCTCTTGGGGTGGAACTGCTGTATCTTGCAGGGAGGGAGGGCTGCTCAGCGTCCACATTCCTCTAAGACTCTTATTCTCAGATTAGTAGCCGAGTTTGCAAGAAGGGCTGGCTTTGGGTTAAACCAGGGCTTTGAACTTGCCCTGCTGGATTCCCTATGTCAAACCAAGCTGCCAAGGACAACGTGCATAGAGGGGCCACACACCCACCTGCTCCTTGTGCCACCACCACACGCTAAGTTAGGAATGCTAGCTGGACACTTCTGCGTGGACACCCGGAACTCACCTGACCTTGCTGTTCCTTTTCAGTGTACCCAGGTGGAGCTGCGGTCTGGCCCCCTTCTTACTCCAGGAAGGAGCACTGGGAATACCCCTGCTCTGAAGTCACCCAGGGGCCTCTGCTGCCCTCACCTCATCACCAGTCAACTCCAGCAGGGATCCCAGAGCCCACTGGCCTCTATGGGGGCTTCCCCTTCCCCCTGGAGCTGGAAAACAAGCGGGCACCCCTCCCGCCCCGCTACAGCAACCAAAACCTGGAAGATCTGATGCCCCCGCACCCGCCGAGTCCCCAGGACCGCCTGCTTGCCCCCTGTCTCAACCAGTACACGGCCATCAGCTACTACCACTCCCAGTTCCAGCAGGGCGGGGGTGGGCCTTGCCTGGCAGAGGGGGGTTACAAAGGGGTGAGCATGCGTCTCAGCAGGGCAGGGCCCTCCTATGCCGACTGCGACGGGGAGGGGGTGTCTCCCGCAGGCAGGGCCCGGTCCCCCGCGCCCCCTAACTATGAGGGCTCTGACATGGTAGAGAGTGACTATGGGAGCTGTGAGGAGGTCATGTTCTAGCTTCCTGCTCTCAGAGGAAGACGGGTAGCAGGCCAAGACCTTGGTACCTTCTTTCTGTCTTGTAGCGAAAGAGGCCAGTGTGGCTGGGAGCAGGAGGGAAGGCCCCCATTCCCAGGCTAGGCTACCATCCCCTGAAATGTGCTCTTCCAGTCCCCCAGCTGGTCCCCGAGGTGGAGGGAAGCTGAGGGTAGCGCTCCAAAGCCAGCACTAGGGCCCCAGGAGAGTGGCATGCACAGGGGCAGTTAGCCAGGGAACAGGGATGGGTGACCTGAGATGGGCAGGAGACAGGCTGTCTCCCGGACCTGCCACCTCTCCATCCCAGGAAGGCAGCCTGGAGCTACACAGTGGGCTCTTCCAGGACGCAGACTTGCAGCCGCCCAGAGCTCCCTTCCCGAGGCTGCAGGTTTGTGCCCAAGAGGCAAGCACTAGCCCTCCCACAGAGATGAGGGTCATCTGCCACTGAGGGGCCACACGGTGTCCTCCTAGGAGCTGAGAGGCGAGCAGGTAAAAGCCACCAGAGACATGCCTTGTGCGTGCGTTTCTTGCATTTTTGTCAAGTGTCTCAGGCACTGTGCTAGGCACCGTGTGAGGGTGGCAAAAGCCCCCAAGGAGTATCCCAGGTGCTCAGCCTCCCAGAAGCCCAGCTCTTGTCCCCCACACAAGAGGAATTTGCTCCACCTCTTCAAATCACACAACTTCCTACCAGCTCAGGCCTGCAGGATTCTGTGGAGTACCGTGAACTTCTTTGTTGAAGAATTCAGACCCCACAAAACTCTGGGTTCTTCTTTCCAAGTTTCCCAGGCACTTTTGGCCAAAGGCAAGAAGGAAATGATTCAGTTTAAAGAAAAATTCTATCGCACTTTTCAACCTTGCTGTCTGAGGACTTTTCCCAAAGGGATTTTTCTTCTCTAGACACAAGGAACTCAGAACTTCCATTCTGGGCAAGGTGAAGGGAGGGAGCTGACCAGTGGATTATCCGTCCCGGCTGAGCCCTGCCCTTTCCTGCCCCCTCCAGCACAGCTGCCTGCCGATCAAGTGTTACCTGCACTGACTCAGCCCTATGCATGGAGGGTCAATGTGGGCATGCAACTACACATGTGGGCATCCATGTACAGTATGCATGTACACATGTGTAGTGTGTATGTAGCGAGGAGTGGAGGGAGCAGAAGCCAGTGTGGCCTCTGGTGGCCTTGCCACTCCCTCCTCTGGCAGTCCCTCTCCCTAGTCCACTGCCTTTTCACGTGTGCTGTTTGTGGAGAAAAAGAAATGGAGACTGTTACCCACAGGGCGGCTGCTGCCAGCGAGGGGAGGCTGTGTGGGTGAGGGCGTAGCAGTGTGTGTTGTTTGTGGTTGTGTGATTGGGAGCATGAGTGGTAGGATGTGTGGTTGGCTGGTACTTTTTTTTTTTTTTAACAATAAAGTAACTTTTTACAGTTATATACTGTGTCCCTAGCCTCCTTCAGGTTGGGTCAGGGGAATGACATGGGGGTCTACAGACCCTTCTGAGCCAAGACCGAAGGAATCTGGGAGCTGAAAGAGATCACAGATCATCAAGCATGATGATCCCCAAACCTGGTGCAAATGCTAACAGAGATCCCCATGCTCTACCCAGGTGCCCAAAATTGAGCCCTGAGGGCAGGGCACAGGAAACTTGAGGAAAACATGCCCCTGTATCTTACTTTTCTCATTCCTGAGGAAAAATACCCAACACCCACGAGTTAAGGGAGGAAAGGTGTATTTAGTTCAGTTTGCAGAGGTTTCAGTCCATAATCAGCTGGCTCCAAAGCAGGGTGGCACAACAGACAGGCATCGCAGAGAAGAAACTGCACGGTGGCCAGAAGGAAGCAAAGCAACAAGGGCCGACCACAGCTCTTTCTCTCCCTTCTATCTTATCTAGGCTTCTTGGGACAGGTAGCACACACATCCTTAATCCTGGTGCCCTTGGCCCTAGCATCGCACTGTGAATCGATCCCAGAATCACACACTAGATCCAGCCACCTCTGAGAAGGCCCCACCTGTGACCACATGAGGCTTTGGGGGACATCTAGACAGAAGCCATGACACCCTGACTCTGGATTAACTGTCAGCAGTGGTACAAGCCCCTTAAAGGTACAAAAACGGAGGGTCTGAGTGCCTGACAATCCACTGACCAGCAGGTTAATCAAACAGGTTAACAGGACAGGACTATAATCTCCTCAACTATCCACATCCCCCACCATGCTGGTAAAGGGGCTGCATCAGCAAACCTACATTAGCACATCACTACCCAAGGCCCACAGTTGACAGTGGGGTCCACCCCTGGCGCTGCATGCTCTGTGGCTGTGGACAAGTGTGTGCGGTTGTGTCCAGCCCCATAGTATCCTGCTGAGTTGTTGCACTGCCCTAGAGATCCTCTGTGCTCCGCTGTTCACCCCTCTCCCCTGAAGCCTGGAAACCACTGATCTCAGCGTCTCCACTGAGTCTTCTTCCCCAAAGTCAGAATCACACCGTATGCAGCCTTTTCGGGTTGGGTTTTTTTTTCACTCAGGAATATGCATTTAAGTTCCCCCCATGTCTTTTCATGGCTCGACAGCATATTTCTTTTAAGCCCTAAATAATAATCCATTGTTCAGATGCGCCACAGTTTATCTATTCTTATCTACTAAAGGACATCTTGGTTGCTGCTGAATTTTAGCAACTGTACTAAAACTGCTCTGAACATCTGTGTGCAGACATAAGTTTTCAGCTCCTTTGGGTGAATAACAAGGCGCACAACTACTGGGCCCTAAGGCAAGAGTGTGTGTGGTGCTGTAAGAAACTGCTCAGGTATCTACCACTCTGCATTTCCAGCAGCAACGAATGGGCCTTCCTCAGTTCACCTTATCATTTCTTTCATGGGTGGGGCCTGGTGTGTTGTATCTAAAACCATCATCACACCCTAGGTCACATGTGCTATGTTATCTCCTAGGAATTCTATAGTTTTACCATTCATATTGAGGCCAGATATCCATTCTGAGGTAATTTCTGTGAAGAGTGTGAGGTCTATGTCTAGATGTGTTTCCTACGTGATGTCCCCTTGTTCCAGTAGCGTTTGTTGAAAAGACTCTGTCTGCACTATTCCTTGCCTTTGCTCATTTGTTAAAGTTCAGTTCAGCTTATTTTTTCAGTAACATGAAGATAGTAAACAATAGCTGTCCTCTAACACTGTTGTAAGAAATAACTGCAAGGACTGGGGATTTAGCTCAGTGGTTCCAACGCCTGCCTTGCAAGCACAAGGTCCCAAGTTCGATTCCCAGTACCAAAAAAAAAAAAAAAAAAAAAAGAACTGCAAATGTAAAAGCTTATTGAAGCACAAACCATAAATGGTGACCATTCTGATACGAAATAATACTCAGTAATCAACAGACTGCAGTAAGTACTGCGCAGGAAGCCTCAAATAATCTAGTTTAGTGTGGCCAAAATCTGTGGCTTTACCACTTTTACAGGGTTTTTTTTTTTTTGCCCCAAAAGAATACCATGTGTACAGTATTCACTTAATATTTTTCTTTAAATGTATTTACATTCTCAAAAATATTTTATTCATCTTAAAATGCTAATATCCATAAAGGATTTGAGAGTTACTATTTTTTTCTAACATACATGAAAATATATAACTATTCAAATTTTAAAAAACTGTCTAGCGCCCCTAATAGTCCTTCAAACAGTGATCTACCCTTCTGCTCCTCACCCCAGGCTCACAGAGGAGGCTCCCGGCCAGCACCGCGAAGCCCTGTCCCCAGATGCAAAGTGACACCACCACCGCCAAGCTCTGCCTCTCCTCCGGCAGTCTTCCTCTGGGCCTTCTGAGCCTGCACCTTCCCACATCAGCCACCAGAGGACTCTCAAGCTCAACACTGGGCTGAGCCTGGGGAGGCCCCAGGTTTTCAGGGAAACCCTCCCATCCCAAGCCACAGCCCTCTGGTTGCAAACATGCCGAGTCTGAGAAGGGAGGCAGCTTTTACAGTCCACCGCGGGAGCCTCCGTCACACCACCCAGGACCCCACAGCCACCTCTTACTGCACACCTGCAACAGGCCAGGTGCTGTGCAGCCACCCGTCTCACCTCAGGGTATCCTCCAAAGATCCCGCGTTAGGTCCCCGTATCCACTTACAGGTGGCAAAACCTAGGCACAGAAACTGAGTAGAACGTGTGGCGCCAGTAATTTAGACAAGTGAGGTCACAAAGTCTGAGTCACAAGGCCAGGGTTCCAAGCCAGGTCAGCCTGACGAGCCCTGTGCCTGACACATGGGTTCATGAAACAAATGACAACTAGAGGATTAAGCACAGCAGCAGGAGTGACTTAGAGGGCTGCATTCAGAACAAACCAGGAACACTACTCTGACTCGAGGTGACATTAACAGAGCCAGCACGTCTGGATTGGGGAGGGGGGCTGTCATCCTTGGGGCTCACCCCAAGCCTCTGCTGGAGCCCCACATGTAGTCTTGGGGCAGCACCTTAGGCGCCATCCAGCAACCTTGAGCACCGCTACAGAAGAGGACCAGAAGTGAGGGCAAGGGGCAAGAACCGAGCTCCCCGTGAGGAACAGCTCCAGGCAGCAGGCAGAGAGGTCACTGCTGCAGGAGAGGCAGCTGCACTCGCCTGGATGAGCAGCTCAAGCCCTGGGCAAGAGAGGAAGGAAGAAACCGCTTCCTTCCAGTGTGGGGCAGGGTGGAGGGCTTGCAGTCATCAACGTGGCTATATCTCAAGGCTTTCTAGAAAGAGCAAATGTGTCGTCCAAGAACCAGAGCAGGGCTCTGGAGGGAGGCCTGATGCCACAGCTAGAACCTGCAGGAATATCTGGGATGGATGAAGGGCACAGCCAAAGGCCTGCTCACTTTAGGACTAAGGATTATGAAGATTCTAAAAGAGCTGGAGGAGAAAAGATGCCGTGTGTAAAGTGTGAAGACGCGGAGAGACTCATCCTGGGCTCCAGCCAGCCCAGGGCACGGAGGGCCACCTGCCCCTCTGCAGGACAGGGAGGACCCAAGAGACCACACGGCTGGCTGAAGGCCCACAGCAGGGTCTGAGGACAGCCACATGCTGCCTCACTGAACAAAGCAGCAGACTTCTCGGGTCAGGAAAATGCAGTCTCTGGGGTTTTCTCCGGATTCCCCAATCAGTCTGTGAGACCCAACCAAGGCAAGTGCTTGGCTAGATGGAAACAAAATTCAAAGGAAACAGAATAATGGCAACTCCTTCCCAGGCCAAGACTCTCCACCCCATCCTGGAGGAGACAAAGCTGCATTCAGTAATCAACCAAGTGTGGGTACAGGATTGGCCCCGGGGGATCAAGGATCTAGGGGAAGTGGCCCCAGGGGACTGGCTCCAAGCACACCGGAACCTGTGGGTGCTCAAGCCCCTTATGTAAAGCTGCTTGGTGTTTGCCTGTCACTTACACACATCCTCCCGTATACTTTAAACCACGCTAGATTATTTATGATACTTAATGTAATTACTAAGTAGGCAGTTGCTCTACTAAATTGTTTAGGGAACAATGACCAGGAAAAAGGCCTGTATGTGTTCAGCGCAGATGCATTTTGTTGTTATTTTTCCAACTGCAGTTGGATCTGCAACTGAGGAACCTGCTCGGGAAGAGGGTTCGATCACATCCCACACAGCCAGGCGTGAGGGTGGTCAGGCAGCAACAGCACTGGCGGCCCAGGAGAGGGTTGCACACTCTGCCAGACAAGACAGGACCCAGGGAGGAGCAGCCATCTGAAGTGAGAAGGACCAGTTAGGGTGAGGAAGGAGGAGAGGCCTGAAGGCATGGGTGGGGGCTCTGCTGGACCTCAGCCAGGGCAGGGAGAAGGCCTCAGGGGAGGCTCCACGACACCCATATGGGGGCCTCTGGGACCACAAAGGTGAGGGACGAGGGAAGCTGGGAGCAGGACGTAGATCCCAGGTCGAGACAGAGGTGAGAAGTCAGGGAGACCCTGCCACTTCGGAAACACGTCTGGGTAAGTTCTGTGACTTTTATCCCTGGGTTTACACAGATGACACCACCTCTGACACAATTCAATACCTATTCATAATAATAATTCAGTAAGGAATGCAGGGAGCTGCTGTAACCATCTACAGCTGACATCAGTGAAAGACAACACCTTCCCATGGGATCAGAGGCAGGACCAGGAAGCTGGCTCTGACCACTCCTTTCTGAACACAGCATCGAAAGATCTGGAAAAGGGAGGGAGACAGGAAGGAAAGAGGAAACACAACTAACCTGTTTGCAGCCAGCATGGTTACCGACAAAGAAAATCTCAAGAATTCTAACCAACAACTCACAAGATAAAAGATTAACGCAGAAAAATCAACTGCATTACCATGTACTGCCACTGAGCATGTGGAAACTGAAAAGCACATTATCATTTACAATATTCCCTCGAAGATTAAAGGTATAAATCCAGCAAAACATCTGAGACATGTCTGAGACATCTGTATAGGATCTGATAAATGGCTAAAATTAAAACTAGCGACACCACCAAATGCTGGCAAGGATGCAGAGCAAACAGCACTCGTAGCCGGTGCCAGAAATGCAGACTGGTACACCCACTCTGGAAAGTGGTCTGGAAGTTCTTTAAAACTGAAAATGGGCTTTCTGAAACAGCCCGGCAAATACACTGTGGCACACATACCCCAGAGAAATGCGAACTTATATTTATGCAGAAAGTTTTGCACAAATATTCACAATAGCTGTATCTGTAATTGTCAAATCTAGAAATTATGCAAATTTCCTCCCATGGGTGAATGGCTAAAAATTAGTACTATGAAATACTTAGCAATAAAAAAAAATACAGTGGACCCTTGACTTATAAACTCAATTTGTTCTCAATGGCTGGTTGTAACTCGAGTTACAACTCGAGGCTCAGGCTCCTCTACACAGCCTTCAAAGTCTCTCTCCTGTGTACAGGTAGATCTCGGTGTCCTTAAAGAAACATTGCCCCAGGATTTCTCAATTAACCCCACATAGGAAAGGATGCTGTCATGTTCCCTCCAGAACTCTCTAAGGGTTAAATCTGTATCAGAGACCATCTGGAAGCACAAGCGGCTGGCATTCGGGCTGTAACTCAAGACTTTGCTTGTAAATTAAGACTTTGCTTGTAAATTAAAACTAAAATTCCAGTCATAAGCCAAGTTGTTCATATATCAGGCTGTTTGTAACTCGAGGGTCCACTGTATTGCCACAAACAACAATTTAGATGAACCCAAGGAAAGTATACCGATTGGAAAAAGTCAGCCTCGGCTGGGCCTGCTGGAACATGCCTGTAATCCCAGCACTGGGAAGGTGAAGGCCAGCTTGGGCTACGTAGTGAGCTCAAGGCCAGTCTAAACTACACAGCAGACCCCGTTTGTAAACACAAGAAGAGGAGGAGGAGCAATAGCAGCCGCCGCTGCCGCCAATCTCAAAAGGATATGAACTGAATAATTCAGTAATTCAATTTCCGTAACTTTCATTAAGTGCTGTAACTTCAAAGATGAAGGACAGAGTAGTTGCTGCCAGGGTTTCAGGATGCAGGGAGCGAAAACGGCGAGTCCACGAAGGTGCGGCCCTAGGGGGACGCCAGGCTTTGTTCAGATTGCAGAAAATAACAAAGCAACCCGTGAGCTAAAACTGCAGAGCACTACACACACGCGCACACATACACACAGACCGGGACACGTTTAACCAGAGAAACCCGAACCGGCTGGAGGGAACACCGGCGTCAGTTTCCCGGTCTGATTGTGTACTACAGCCGTGCAAGGTGTTTCCACGGGGATTCGGAAGGAGACACTAGGCCTGCCGGGACGCTTGCTGTCCTTGTCCATCACAATCATTTCAGAGCCAGGGTTAGGCTGGGCGGGGCCGGGCGGACAGAGGCGCGGACAGATGGGAAGCGCGGGTGGACACGGGCTCGAGTCTGGTCGGTAGTGTACAAGGCCGATCCCTCCCACACGCACAGCCGTGGGCCGCCCACGCGGGGTCCCGCTCGGGGGCCAAAGGATTCGCCACCGGGAGAGCACGGGCGCCCCCTGGCGGCATCGACGCGACGCGGTCAGCACCGGGGATAGAGGCCTTCGCTCTCCTAGGAGAAAGGCCTGTTAGAGGAAGGGGAGAGGTCCTCGGCTGTACCCCGAAACTGAGCGAAGCCACCGCCTCCACAGAGGCCCCCGGGGCACGCGGGCCAGGAGAGCCTAAGGTTTCAGGCAGGCCACCGCCTCACCCACGGGGAAACTGCGCGGCTAAGCAAAGCCCGACCCCCGCGGAGGGGGCGCCGTGTGGGAGATCTGGTGCTGAGTCCGGTCAGTATGGGCGCGTGCGCGCGCGCGCATACACAGGCACACACACACACACGCACGCACACACACACGCACGCACACACACACGCACACAGTCATGCACCGCGTTTCAGCCAGCGCCAACAACGGACTTGGTAAACAATGTGGTCTGGTAAGTAGCCAGTGGCACAGTGGCCATCCTACTTTGTGTAAGTCCCCCCACCCCGAGTGTGAGTGTGTGTGTAAAACAAAACAGGTTCCAAGGAACTGCTCACATGACCGTGGGGACAGCAAATCAAGTTCGCAGGGCAGGCCCGAAGCCTGGAAACGGAGGCACAAGCTGATGCTGCGGTCTTGAGGCCCAGTTTCTTCTGAGACATCTCAGTTTGAAGTCTTCCAGCTGGTCAGACGAAGCCATTCGTTTTTGTTTTTTGTTTTTTTGGTACCGGGGATCGAACTCAGGACCTTGCACTTGCCAGGCAGGTGTAGTTCCACTGAGCCACATCCCCAGCCCATGAGCCCGTTCACATGAGGAAGGATAATTTTTATGCAAAGGCAAATGACTGCAGATGTTAGCTACATTTCCGAAGCACCTTCTCAGCAACACCTAGACCAGTGGCTGAATAACCAGGCTGACACATGAAACCAACCATCACGCCTGTGACACACACAGAGAGGGCTGAAAATTCCCACTCAAGACTTCCAGAGCAGCAGGAGATTTATGGAGGGCAGGATTGGGCGACAGAAATACATTTCCTGCTCCTTTTCTTGGGCACCTCTTGATTCCATGGATGGTTCTATCATTCACGCTACTCCTCCTGTGTAAACTCTTGGCACACGCTAGAAATATTTTAACCTAAGATCTAGTAAAGGAATCTGAATTACAGTATAGCAGACCCTTACAAACTCAATCGGTTCCCAAGGGCTGACTGTAACTCAAGTTGGCTGTAAGTCAATACAGCTGAGATCTGGATGTTTACCTGGATACATGCTATAGATAACAAGAGGCAACAAGAGGTGGATGAATCTTCCATTAACCTAATTAACCCAAGTTTTGTTCATATGTCAGGCCAGGTGTAACTTGAGGGTTCACTGTACTTTTTTTTTCTGCAGCATTGAGGTTTGACCCCAGGGTCCTTGCACTGAGCTACACCCTCAGCCCTTTAACTTTTTTTTTGAGATAGGATCTCACTAAGTTACTAAGTTGTCCAGGCTGGGCTCTAACTTGTGATCCTCCTGTCTCAGCCTCCCAGACTGCTGGGATGACAGGCACTGAATGACTTTTTTTTTAAGGGAGAAAATAAAGACACAGATTGGAACCTCTCAAAAATAGAAAATAAAATTTATTTACTGAAAAAGAAAAGCTTAACACATGATCCATGTGCACAACCCACGTGAGATCTACAAGCTCTGGCACAATCCACATCTCTACATACACCACGCTGGAAACATCCAGCATGCACATCGCGCACAGTCCCTCACGTCAGACTCACTCTGTGCTAGCTCTTCACTGCCGCGCAGCCTCACATCCATTAACATGGCTTACAACACAGCCACCTGATTTCACTGACCACCGAAAGAAAATAGCTTTCCCTGCATCACCTTGATCTAAGCCAAAGAACAGCTAACAGCAGCCACTTCCCACCCTCATTCCCAGCTCCCTCCCTCTGACCTCCTCTCAACAGGGATGGCTCAGTGTACACAGGAAAGGGAGTCACCCAACAGGCTGGCGCTCAGGGCAAACAGCCTGGCGGCCTGCCGAGTAACCGCATGAGGTACTGGCCATGATTTCAGACAATCGGCCTCGCTCGCTTCCTTCCCCTAATGGACTGACGTGTAATGTACTCGGGGAAAATTGAATTCTAAGGCAGACTGGAAGCTGCCTCCTAAGCACCGCACCCTGCCACCCCTGCTGTCTGTCCCCTGGGGGAGGAAGCAGCATTCTGAGGCCCGGGGTGACCCTGAGGCCTGCCCTAGTAGCTGACCAGCTACAGGAAAAAGAAAAATAAGATAAACAGACAAAAAACAACCCAAGCGCAGAGCCCTTGCTGTGAGCAGGGAAGAGGGTGCTGTAAACGGACATACACTGCGATTCTGCACTGTCAAGAAAGATGAGGTGAACCCGTAGTGTTGGACACGGATGATATTGTGAGAAAGGGAAAATATGAGGGGAGCCAGGCTGGGAGGTTGTAGCATTTGGGATCCACCCTAAGACCACTGCGGTCACACCTATACATGGCTTGTGCAGGGGAAGGGACAGCAGCACAATGTAAGTAACTAACTTCACTTGTGAGTGGTGACAGTTCCTAGGCAGAGTGAAGAGCAAATGCCAGTCACGCTCCTCACAGGAAGCGGCCGCACTGAGGAGGGACATGGCCCACCCAGGAGCAGCATTTGGAGAAAGAACCAAGAAAGCTCTGAGAGAGCTACGTCTGGGCTCACGGGCACCTGAGGCTGCACAGGACACAGGACAGCAGGTGAGCCCACAAACCCCGCGTGCACCTTCAGTGCACCCAGAGACCTTTGGCTCTGTTGCCCCGATCAGACTTCTGCTTACCCGGCACTTCCTCACAGGGGCAGCCAGAGCACAGCGGGAGGGGGCGCTCAGAAGACACTGGGCGGTGCTGGGCAGTGCCGGGCTTGGAGACAGGAGCGGCAGGACTGAGCCGCCCCGCTCCCTCCCTCCCTCCCCGTCTTCTGCCACCTTGTCTCTCCCCAGGGCCCTGCGCTGTGCCTCCAGCAGTTCCAGGAACTCAGAGGCCTCCACCGAAGCACCAGGGACAGGACACGGGTCTGCCCCTTCACACCGAAAGCAACTCTCCGGGTGGCAACAGCAAGACGGCCAGGCCCACAGGTGGGACAGAGCTGACTGTTTCTGAGCGCACTGTGGTCACGTCTGAGCCTGAGTCGTGAGAGGGCGCCACCTCTACCTATCCCAGCTGGGGCCCTGGTCACCTGAGCACCTGTTACAGACCCCCAACAGCAGAAAGGCTGGCCGCAGAGGCTCACCCTCCTGGGGGAGAACGAGTATCCCATGCTGACAGCTTCGGGCCTGACACACTGCCAGACAGGCCAGCACTCACCGTGGAGAGTCCACTCTCCCAACCCTCCACCTGGAGGGCAGCCCTGCTGGCTTTGGAACAGGAGAAAAAGAAAAAGCTGGGCTGCCAGGGTGAGCCACAGCCCTCACAAACTCGGATGAAGCACACACAAAGCCCTGGCATGTTCTTGTTCTGCCTTCACCAACATTCAAGGCAAACCCTATCTCTGGACAAGAGAAGGCCCGGTGACTAGGCGGGAGACCCAGGGTCTGCCCCACTAGACACGAGCACCGCACACAGCTGCGGAGTCCTGAGCCCCTCCAGCCCCAGAGGGAGGAGCAGCCTCCTCGTCCTCTGCCCCTTGACGCCGGCTCCCTACTGTGGTCTGCAGGCTGACCTGAGGTGGCCTCGCCCGGGGTCCGGAACAGGCAGGGAGGTTTCGTGGGTCCCCCTGGTGTTCCTCGGTTCCTCTCCAAGAGCAGGGCAAGGAGCGACGTGAGGTGGACCGGCGGTGGACCGGACCGGACCGGCTCGGCTCTGCCCCGCCCCACCCCAGATTGTAAACGGCCAAGTACTGAGCGCAGTGCAGGTCAGCTGGGGCGGATTCTGCGATCAGTGATCAATGTCATGTCACAGTCCGTGGCCCCAACATGGCTTCCCGCCCACAGCAACAAGGGTCCTCCTGGCACCACAGCGAAGGAACTGCTGTCCCCTTTGCCTGTCAGGGGCTAAGGCTGAGAAGTGGGCCCGAACACACAAAGCACCTGTGCATCAGCAGCCCTGAGACCTCTGCCGCCCCTGCTCTGCGCCCAGGACAGGCCGCACGTGCGTAGGAAATCAAGCGGATGGGCAGCAGGCGGTGAGACCTGGCCGCCCTGAGAGGTGCGCAGCTGATCCTGCCAGACAGGTGTGGGCGTCCAGGCGCTCCACACACACCTCCTGGGGCAAGTTTCCAAGCTGAGTCAGTTCACTGAGGAAGGGCCAGGGGATGTAGCTCAGCGCCACCTCGCCTGCCTGGCAAGTGCAAGGTCCTGAGTTCAATCCCTGGTACTGCCACACAAAAAAAAAAGTTGGCTGAGGAAGAACTGATTCCTAATCATCCCAGATTGACAGTCAGAATCTAAAAACAAGAACCTAATCTTAAATAAAAAATAAATATTTTCCATTTTGGCAGCATTTCATGTCTTTTCAGAGCTAATGCGATGAAGGACACATACAACCCACACGGAGGAACTCAAAGGGGAGGGGGTCTGAGCCCAGGGCAAGTGAGGGAGAACAAGGATTAAAAACTCCGGTTTGGGCCGGGGATTTAGCTCAGTGGTTCCGTCACCTGCCCCGAAAGCGCAAGGTCCCGAGTTCAATCCCTGGTACCAAAAAAAAAAAAAAAACCCTCTGGTTTGGGGGCCAGTTTTTAACCACGAGGAAGGGCCAGACAGCCCTGGAGAGCTGAGCAGAGGGGAGAACCCTCAGGTACAACACCGGGGCAGGATGAGGAGGCCTGGCTTTCTCAAGAGGGGAAGAGTCACCTCTCACTCACAAGGCCTGGCCCGCAAAGGAGAAAACCTGGGGTGGGGACATGGAAATGTTTAAATAAAGTGAGCTGTGTGAGAGGAATGCTTTGGCTGAGGCGGCTCAGACAAGAGGACAGATGCTGAGGGCGGAGGCACCACCAGGACGGGGCGAGGTGACACGGTCTGGGTTGAAATTGAGTACAAATGCGCGGCGACACCGCCGTCCCTGGTGGTGCCCTGTGCCTGGGACCCACCTCCCTGCTGCCCGCATGCCGCCGGCCCCGAGTTCCGGTCAGGCTGAGGAGAAGCCAACAGCCGCCCACCTGTCCCAGGCTGGATGCGGAGGCTCTGGGGACGGGTCCCGGACACTAGGGCGGCGGGCAGGCCGGAGCGGCACCCAGCTCAGTACGCAAAGGCACCGGTGGAGTTGGTGGAGTTCGGGGCAGCGCTGGGCTGGGCCAGCTCAGCGAGGGCCTCGTAGGTCCCCACCATGAAGCCCGCGAAGCCCAGGACGCTGATGAGGGCGTCCTTGGCGATGGTGAGCGGGCGCAGGCCCTCGGAGGAGTAGGTGGCGATCTCCAGGAGCGGGGGGATGACCAGGGCCAGGGCACTGCTGCTCACGGAGCCCACCAGGGAGATGACCAGGTCCAGGCGGGGGATGAGGATGGCCAGCATGCCTAGGAGAGAGCACAGGCCCGTCAGCACTGCTCGGAGCGGGGACGGCGCTAAGGCCCGACCGACCTTCCCCTCGGCTGAGGGGTGCCTGAGACATGGAGCAACCAGCGTCTCCTGGGTGGCGTGGCTTCCATCTTTCTAAAGAAAGAACCAAACTGCACGCCAGGGCCCTCTGGTCTCCACCACACGAGTGAGGCTGTGCAGGAGGAAAAGGGGCAGAACCTTTCCAAGCAAGTGCTCATTTTCTTACTACCGATGGTCCGCGCAACACACACATCTCAAGTGACAAGGAGCAAACGAGGAGTGGGGAGTGGTGACGCACGCCTGCAATCTCAGCGCTGACGGAGGCTGAGGCAGGAGGACCCCAAGTTCAAGTCCCTGCCTAGGCAACTTAATGAGACCCTGTCTCAAAATTAAAAATAAAAAGGCCTGCAGATGTAACTGGGTCGTAGAGCACACTCGGGCTTGGTCCCCAGTACCACAAAAAAACAACAGAACAAAGCAAGGGGAGAAACCTTCCTCCTGGAAAAGATACCATGAGCAATCCATTCAACAGCACCTTCACACAGGTGGGCAAAAAGTTCTGGGAGCAGGCTGACTACCGGCCAAGCCCCTCACACCTGAAACTCAGCCAAGCGGAGACAGGAAGAAGAAGGCACTCCGTACCACGCTTCCACCACACCATGGCTGTCTCGCAAGCCTGTTGGTGCTGTTCACAGAGGAGAGGAGAGAAGAGGAGAGGAGAGAGCCGCATGGACTACACTCGGCCCTGTGCCCGTAGATCCCCGGTCCCCATGCTCCCACGTCCCTGATCTTTCCAATAGCTGAGCAAAGGCCAATGTGTCACGGGCTTCCTGGGGACTACGGGCGGGCGCTGGAATCGACTTCTGCATCCAAATGCTGGTAATTAACAGGGGAAACACTGGAGAAGTATTGGTTCCTTTACAAGCTTTCTCCAGTTTTCCTGTTGGCATAATGGGAAGACCAACTGCTTCCTTCACTCACAGATGTCATAGCTCAAATGATGCTATGCAGGGCCCAGTGTACCGTGGGCAGGAACAATACCTGTGAATGCCCTTGCCAGTGTTCATCTGGTTGCTCTGAAAAGCACATCGACTCGTTATTCATCAAATAAAGACCGGTGGGCGGTCTGTCCCCCCACTGGGTTGCACCTGGACGTCCTGAGTGGGGAGTCAGCCCTCCAGGGCTTATCTGATCCCTGATCCCTACGCCAGATGAAAGGATCAGATGGCATCTGGAGGCCAGATGGCACGAGAAACACTTACCTTTCAACCGGAATCAGAATCGCACTCTCAGCAATGAGATGCAAGGCTCGGAGCAACTGCCAGGGAGGGTCAGATCCGCACCTAACGACTCACGCCTGCCCTGCAGATCTGCAGCCCAATACGGCAGCCACTAGCCACTGATGGCTGTGTGACTCTACTGCCTCACACCGTGCAGACACGAAACATTCCCATCACCACACAACACTGGTACTGCTAAGCACCCACTCGGCGGGGTGTCTGCGCCTCCATACTCGGGTCTGTAATCATTCATGGCCCCAGGGAAACAGAGGCCTGGGAGGCCCCCAGTTGAGTGACAGAGCCAGGATTAAATCCAGGACCTCGAGTCCCTGGTCCAGAGGCCTCCAGGACTGAGGAGCTGGAAGCCCAGGACTCCGGCAGATGAAAGGGAGCAGGGCTCTGGGGTCGGCAGGAAGATCCTGTCTGGGACGAAGCGGGAGACGCTCAGGGTATGCGAGTGGAGTATCCAGGGACGCGGCACACAGGCAGCCCCGACCCCTCAGCTTTGCCAGAGGGGACTGGACGGGGGTTCAAAGCCTGATTACGAAGGGGGAACAAGGACGCACGCGGTGCCTCGGAGACCCCTCCACCATGCTCTGTACCCCAGGAAAGTCCTTCCTCTTTATCCTGTTTGTCAGCCTCACGCAGTTCCCTTTAACACCTCCACTGCTCTCAAGCCTTTGGGGGCAGACAAAAAGTGCGGGCTTTTAACTTGGCCTGAAAGTTAAAAAAAAACATAAAAATAAAAAGGTCTGTTTCAGTCCTTAGCTCTTTCTAAAATAACCAGAGTTGCTGATATCCCCCGAACCTTGAAGGTTGAATATGGAGGAAACTGGAGGTGAAAAGTGCACGCTGGTGACAAAACGTGTTTCTCACTGGGGTGGTCCGAGGTTCACAGGCGCTGATCTGCGGGGTACCTTTACGGCGACATGCACCCTCTCTGGGTTTAGGGCTCCATGCGCCTAGGGTTAATCTCGTGGTGACAGCTCACAGGGCCCGGGGTGGGTGGAAATAGCAGGAGGCAGCAGCTGGGAGAACCGAGCTCCAGGGAGGGGGTGGTATGGGATGTGGGACTCCAGACTCCGCCCAGCGCCAACACCAGGGAGCTCCTACATAGATTCCTTCCCCAGCTGCTAAGTAGGGGTGGTCAAATGAGATCACCCATGGGAAGGATGGCGAGCACTAAAACCACACGATACACGCATAAGTGTTTGCCAACCTCATCACCAGGCTCCAGTCTGCAAAGAGCTGTGTGGCCCAGGGCAAAGGAGCTCCCCACTCTGAGCCTCAGTCTAGTCACCTACAACAGAAGGTGACTGCATTGATACTGGATGACTACTGAAGTCGCAGCCAACTTGCAAGTTAAGAGACTGCACGATCCAGTTGTGGTCACAAGGAGCATACTCAGGAAGCACCAAGGGGCAGAGCAAAGCGCTGGCACTCTCTCCCAGGACACACGGCCCACCTGGCCTTGTACCCAGAGTGTGAGCAGATACTCAAGGGCCATGCAGCACACCAGAGAGGACAGAGCCCTGCAGGGATGAGTCAGGTGGCTTGTCCCTCCCAGCCTGGAGGGCTGGCACCTCACCACCCCATGCTAAGCTGGAAGGACACTTGGCGAGAAGAGGCGAGTGTGGCCAGAGATGTGCTCCACCCGTGACAAGAGGTCACGGAAGCCTGTGGGGTCAGAACCATTTCTCTCTTCACACAGAGATCTTCCACTTCAGGGTATTTTATAAGCAATCTAAACCTTGTTCTTGTTTTTACTACAAAGGAGATGCAAGATAAGCTGCCTAATGTCCTTAACAGAGATTTATAAAGGAACAGACACTTCTCCTCACAGAAGAAAGCACTCTTTCTGTCCTAGCTGGACAGACAGCTTTCGGGCCTGACACTGGGAAAAGACAATGGGGAGAAAGCACGAAAGGTGAGCCCCCACTTCGATGACTGGGGACAGGGAGGAGCAGGATGCCCACACCAAACTGGCATCACCAGCCCCAGGGCCCAACAGCAGGCATCTGTGTTTTGCCACCATGCAAAATGCCTAATGCTTGCTTAGGAAAGACCAGAGTCTACTCCCTACTGCAGCAGCGGAAAAGGGGACTGAGGACAACCTACCCTGACCACATGGTGAGTCAAGAGGCTCCAGTGTATTACAAAACATCTTCCCTCTGGGTTCAGACACACTAAGAATACAGTCTTGCAACTGCTGAGCCATCATAAGGCCAACGGTCGTGTTCAGAAAGGGAAATGACTGGGATGCAGGAGTCTGTGGTTTTGGACCAGCCTCAGAAAGAGCTGACTTATAATGCACAAGAGGAGAGGAGAGCCAAGCACTTAAAAGAACAAACACACATTTACAGAAGCACTCGACTCTTACGGGCCCGGTGTCGGGAAATTCTTGCTGCTCTTCTGCTCTGATCAATGCCAGTGAAACCCATCCTGTTACTTTCTAACACCTAACAACCCACCTTCACAATTAGTGAGGGTCTTGAATAGATGCATCATTTCACTTGGTGGGGGTACAGACAGGAAAAAATATAAAAGCAAGGGAAACAACCTGTCTATTAAAGGAGTAGCATAACTATTATCCACCAGTACAAAAGAACGTCAGGAAAATGTTAAAGAGTATGTCTATATTCATGATACAATAATAAAAGGAGAACAAAGTTATGCCTATCCCATGATTGAAAATATTTTTACAATGTACCAATGAGGATTAAGACAAACATAAAATGCAAAGTAAAAATTATTCTGTCAGTGGGACAGAGAACTTCTTTCATCTCCAAATGTTTTCACATTAACTTTCCTTTTTTAGCACAATATTTACGTAGAAATTTATAACCAAGCCACAGAACTTTGGCACCGGGAGAAACCTCAGAGGTCACAGTTACTTCGTAGTCCTCAGCCAAGGACTCCAAGGCCTGCATGGGATCCTGAGACGGCCCAGAGTTGCCCGCGGGGTTAATGATGCTGCCTCGTCCCTGCAGCTGCAAGACTGTGAATGGGAAAAGCCAGAAGCTGCTGGGCGATTCCTGATCTGACCCATCTGCCTGTCCGAGGCTGCACATTTCCGTCCGAACAGGTCTCATCACAGGTACGGTTTCACGTTATTACATCCTCTACAATAGGTTTCTGAAATTCTCATACATAAGTGAAGCAAAATGTCTCACATGACAAATGCCACAGAGAATCTGTGCCACTGACGGAGCTGGCCTCTTCCAGGCTCTCCGTCTACACACGCTCCAGACGTCAGGCAACCTGTTCAGTCTGCATTTCCACACATGTGAGCCCGAAGGAAATCCTGTCCCACTTGATCACACAGTGAGCACCATCCTCCAAATCTGTTTTCCCCTCTTCTGGTCTCCGACAGCCCAAAATGAAGCAACAAAAAGGAGGCGTCAGCTACAGTAATCCTCGAGGGCTGGGGAGACCGGTGAAGAGTTGAATTGTGAGTGGGGGCTGGGAGTGAGGCTGGACCCAACTCCCCCTGTTCCCTTGGAGACGGAGGGCAAGAAAACAGACAGAGAAAAGGTTGGAAAAGAGACACATGCCAGAGGGCCGGGGATTTAGCTCAGTGGTTCCGGCGCCTGCCTCACAAGCGCAAGGTCCCGAGTTCGATCCCCGATACCAAAAAAAAAAGACCAGGGCCAGAAACAGCAGTGACACGAGCTGCTGTTGAGATGTATGAGTGTAACTGAAAGCAATCGGTTATATCAAAGATTTAAAATCACAGGCCTTGCCCCAAAAGACCTGAAAGAACAGAGCAGCGAGGGCAAAATGAGCTCACATAAATCCATTAAGTTGATGCTACCCTGAAAGGCCTCTCCTGATTCCTGTAATCACTTCAAAGTCTCCGGGGAAGGGAAGGAGCCAGAGAGCTCTGGGAGATAAAGGGGCTGCCGTGTCGTCTTTTAAGGTTCAGGCTGAGCAATGCTCAGTCCCAAAAGACAGGGAGGGGAAAACGGCCGCCTGCGTTTGAAGATCAAACGCAGCCTTGCTTTTTGAGCATCACTCTGCAGAAGGGAGGTGAGATGGCAGGGAAAGCCAGGAAGAATGAAGCAAAAAATCAAGAGGCATTTAAGGATAGCTGGAGGTCTGTTAAGTCAGGGACCTCGGCCTCCTCTGGGGTGTGGTGGACACAAACCTGGCAAGAAGCAAGACATACGCGCATCAGGAAGCCTGAGCCAGCCTTGAGAAGGAAGAGGACAGCAAGGAGGAGGCCAGCGTCACCGCCCCAGCGCACCAGGGCAGGGGACGGAGCTGCTCTGTCGAGGCAGCGCTGCTTTTCCTCTAGGAACCACTTTATAAATGGTTTGAACTACCCCACCCTTTCTTCCAACGCCCTTTAGATTCCAGAATCAGGCCTCACATACCACTGTCCACACAGCAGCTGTCCTCCCAGCCCTCGAAGCTATGGCATCCACAGAGGACACTCGCATCCGAACCACAGCACCAGGAGCAGCGGGCAGAAGGTTAATTTCGACAGTGCAAGCAGCCTATGCTACCACTGCACAGGAAGACAATCCTGCAAAAGCAAGGTGCTTTGCATTCCTTTTCTTGCCAGTTGCTCCGAGCCCTGGCTTAGCTGCCTTGTGGGCTGTTCACGACGGAACCTGGGGCACAGCAAGGAGCCAGACTCTTGGTTGCCGACTGCGGGGAGCTGTGCCCTGTTTGCCTTTGCCTGAAGAGAAACGCACAGGGCCAACTCTGAAAGTCACGGGAAGCCTGCCCCTCCGTGGTTCCGGTGAGTTCTTTCCACATACAGATCCAGGAGCCTAAGTTTCCACCCACTATCCCAGAAGTAAATTAAGAAAGAAACTGCAGGGCCGGGGGATTTAGCTCAGTGGTTCTGCCGCCTGCCTCGAAAGCGCAAGGTCCTGAGTTTGATCCCCGGTACCAAAAAAAAGAAAAAAAGAAAGGAACTGCAGTGGCCAGGGGACAGGCGTTTGTCCACAGCTCACGCTGGCGTGGGTGGATGAAAGGACAGGCAGCCTCCTGGTTGCCCTTTTCTTGCTAACAGACAACCAATAAAGTCACTTCTGATTTCCCGGACTATGAGCAAATCCTAGAAAACACTCACATCTGTCTTTACTAAAACAATCAACTCCAGTCCAATTAGAAATCATATAGACCGATCTTTATTCCAAAGAGACTTGACTACATAAGGAAATTCCCAGGGAATTCTCAATATAATAACCAAAGAGATTCCTGTCTCAAAAGAATAAAACCCAAAATAAAAATGCCAAATAAATAAATATATGCTTCAAGTACTTTAGTTGGAAAACAACTGCAAATCGCCTAGAAATTTAAATTAGATATTATAGACCATTTTTCCCCCAGGGATTCCCTAGTCTACTAGCTCATAAAAGCAACAAGAAGACATTAATTTTTTACTAATTTCTATTAGTTTTCAACTAAGAGCAAATGAGGTGACATCCTTTTTTTTTTTTTTGAGACAGGGTCTCCCTATGTCACCCAGGCTGGCCTCAAACTCAAGGCAATCCTCCTGCCTCAGCCTCCGAAGTGCTGGGATTACGGGCGTGCACGACCACACAGATGCCTGGTGACATCTTTTTTTTAACTCATAGCCCTTGGCAAGTGGTTTTGGGAAAGGAGATAAGACACAAAGAATAAATCAAACAGCTGGGATGTAGCTCAGTGGCACCGGTGCCTGCCTTGCAAGCGCAAGGTCCTGAGTTCCATCCCTAGTACCAGGAAAAAAATTTAAAAAGAATAAATCAAACACCTAGGTGAATCAACAGACATTTTCTAAGAAACATATTTCATAAGACAGACATAAAAAATGTCTGTCCCAGCTCGAAGTGAACCGTGAAAAAAAAAATCCAGGTTCAAAATGAACTCTTTGAAAAAACAAATAACACATCTCCTCTATCAAAGTGCCCCGTCCTGTGACTGGGTCCAGTAGCCTCCTTTCCTTTTACCTTACCCTCACCTGGAGCTGCCCCCGCCCCCGGCAGCGCATGCCCACCGTGCACTCCTGTCCTGCTGCCCATACCCGAGGCAGGCTCTGCACCCCACTGTCTGCGTGAGCCCCCAGCACAGGTGGCTTCCCCAGGCCTGGGCCCTGGGGGGACATAGGGCGAGGTCTACTCACACGTCAGGCACACCATGGCGGTGCGCACGGACAGGTCCACCAGCAGCCTGCACTGCTCAGGCGCTCGGGACACGAAGAAGGGCATGATGATCTCAGCCGGGACGTAGAACTGCAGCCCGTAGGTGAAGAAGATCCCGATGGAGTAGAGCAGCTTCACCGACTGGTACAGCCTGCAGAGAGAGCGGGCGCTTCAGCAGTAGGCCCAGCTGCTCGGACATCAGCTGAGAGCGAGATGGAGGCGGCGCTCAAGGTCACGAACCCACGCATTCTTAGACCTTGCAGCTCCTTTCAGGAACTTCTCTCCCAGGGGCACTTTCACATGTGCACAAAAATACACATTCAACATATTTCTCTTGCAGCACTGCTGAAGGATGAAGGGTTGAAGACAAAATGTTAATGAGTGGGAAACCGGTTAAATAAATCACGGTGCCCCTATGCAGCTCTTAACAACTATGAACAGAACTGTAGGTGCTGACACGGAACTTTTCCTGCAATGTGCCACTGTGTGAACCAAACCATGATGCAGTAGGGTGTCTCCCGAGGGCTGCGACTCATCTCTGCACGGAAGAGTCGAGCATCCCTTCTGTGCACACAGGACGTCCACAAGGGAGCTGAACATCTCAGAGGGAAAACACAAGAAAGCAGAAGAGTGGCTGCCTGTGATGGGGGCAGTAAAACCGAACACTCTACACCTGCTGAACATCTGGAAATCTTTCCTAGGCATATGAGCAAATATCCTTTCAAAAATTAAACATACGATTAAAATACAACACGCCTTTTAAATCCCTCCCGTCTGACTCCATACTCCCCAGAATCAGATGGTGGCCACACAGGAGCCACAGAGGAGCAGAATCCTTTCCATGCCACGGTGGCCCCTTCCTAGCACATGAGCACGAGCAGCTCCCCCAGAAATGGTGACTCATCACGGGACCCCCTGCCTGGTCACACCAGGGCCTGCTTAGGGCAGAGCAGAAAACATCACTCATGTGTATGATGTGAATGTTCAGGGAAAGGCCACTCTGGCGCCACGCAAAGCTCCACATCTAACAAGACGATCCCTAGTTACACACCCAGAGGACTTGGGCTCCCTTGCTGGAAGTTCACAGCATGGTCATATTACAGGCAGAATGTGCACTGAGATTCTCAGGGGCTCAACTCAATAACCACATGATGTTCTAACATCATCTAACCAAGAAAACACCAGGGGAAAGCCTGAGTTTGGTAAAAAGTCTCGCTTGTACCAGTCCAGATAATGAAAATGCTTTGGAAAAAAATACCAGCTGGCGGCTCCACAGCTGAAGCAGTGTCGAAGCCTCTGGACAGGGGACACGAGGAATCAGGAGAGTCATACGTGGGGAGACTGAGCACACTGCACCTGAATAAAGCCAAGAAGATGGCACAGCTGAGCTTGGGGAGTCAAAGCACCCGGGTCCTCAGACAACCGCGGCTCCTCCTGCTGTGACTGATGGGTTTAAGTGTCAGGGGAAGGTGACGTGGCTACACCAAGCTGCCATCTGGGTTTTCCCTCTTGGAAGCAAAGGGACTCTCTGGAAATTTCAAACAGGTAGCAGGGAAAGAGGAACAGACTTTCTGACAACAGTGGCCCATTTTAGTGCTATCACTTGGATGGCTGAGCAACAGACTCAATCCTCAAGACGCCTGCTGCTGCCCTGTGCTAGACACTGACACCACTGAGCGGGCTCTTCCTCAACTTCCCCCATCTGTCCTCGTCCAAAGTCTCTCCAATCAGAGCTAAAAGCACACGCTGGTAGATCCACCAGGCTGCACTAGAAGGTTGTTTTTATTCCTTTGGGCACAGAAGGCTTCTCCTTAACTATAAACAGTTGCTCTCCACAGCGAGATCTGAATCTTCAAAAGAGAACTGTTGCCTAGCACACACTCTGTGTCTCCTACCTTTGTTTTATTTTTGCAGTGCTGGGCATTGAACCCAGGGTCTCACGTGTGCTAGGCAAGTGTTTTACCACTGAGCTGCAGCCCTCTCTATCTATCTGGTACTGGAACCGAGGCCTTCATGCTGAGCTACATCCCCAGTTCATTTTTTGGTTGTTTCGTTAAATTTCTGAGACAGGATCTTAGATTGGCCAATAAACTTGCAATCCTCTTACCTCTCAGCCTCCTGAGTAGCTGGGATTAGTCACATGCCAGCATACCCAGCTGGCATCTACTTTTCTAGCAAACCTTTCATGATGCGTTGGTGTTGCCCTACAAGACATCCACCAGTTAACGACAAAGGACTCCCAGCACCCCCGCCCACGTTGCAACCCACGTGCATGTCACGTTGTGACTGCTGAGGGGGGTACACTTTGGAAGCTACTAACCAAATACTGGCTCACCCTCCTCTCTCCCCATCCACCTGGAACACTTACGGTCCACAGAGTGGACACCTGGCCCTTTCGGGCACAGGATTACCAGAGAAATGTCTATCAGTCAGCTGCTCAGCACACAGATTCAGTATAAGCCCAGACAAGACTCACTCGGCCAAACACAAACTGAAGGGCAGGGCAGCCAAGGACGATGGCAGTAATGCCGAGCTCATGGAAGAGGAAGGAAGAGGAAGCCCACCACCTTCCGGCCCCCATACTTTTTAAGACCATCCAGTGCTCCTGGGTTTCCATCCTCCCCCACATACCAGCAGTTGGGCAGGTTGAGGGTGATGCTGCCTTGGATACTGGCTCCGAACTGCAGGTACCCCAGGGAGCCCAGGCTGATGTAGAGGACAGTGACAATGGCCATCCCCAGGTACAGGATGAGCGGGAATTTCTGGGGATCCTTCATTTTGTTTTCAAGAGGCAGAACCTTTGAGAAAGTAGCGAGAAAGGAGAAAGCACAGGAAGAAGCAAAATTAATAGCCCATGAAGTCATCGGGAAAGAAGTCACTTCTTTATCCCCAGGACTCTCCAAAAGCACATTTTCCTTTACTAGACAGGCGAACAAACGAGCCTGAGTTATTTCAACAGAAATGACACTCTTGGGATCAGAGGGGACTGCAGAGCTCGGCTGTCTCACCAGGAAGCCCTACGAGGTCAGGTGGGGCTGGGCAAGAGCTAGGGAGGGCCCTGTCTTCCCGTCACCAGGAGGGCAGCGTGTGACAATCAGCAGGTCCCTCACAGCAGGCCTCAGGCAAAACCCGAGACAGCAGCTCCCTGCTCAACCATCTCAAAAGGCAAATCACAGGCCAGGAGAGACTGCCACTCTCGTTCCCCAGCAACCTGCCTCCTCCAGGGGCAGACACCAGAGGTGACACGTTCAACCTCCAAGTCAGAGGAACAGGCATGTGACTCAACCAGGCACCCGGAGACTTGGGCAAACCTGAGCCTAGCACCCAGACTCCTGCTGCAAACCCAGGCCCCGCTGCCCCCTGTCACACAGGGTCTTCCTCAGCTCCGGCAAAAGCAAAGGCCCCCAGGAAGGTGCGTTCATGGCAGAGGCACTGTGACGATCATCACAGCCTGTAACTCCGTCCCAGGAGGCACAGCGTCTCCGCCATGTACGCATCACACCCGGGCGCAGCAACCCTTCCTAGGGATGCCAGGCTCTGCATTTCCCCATGGCCTTCAGCACCTGCCCAGCCCTGCTCAAGCTTCAGCTGACCCAGAGTCTCCACTGGGGTCGGCGTGCCTCACTCCAAGAGACGGGAAGGGAGCCATCTGCTGGGTCTCAGCAGGCCCAGGCTGGCCGAAAGCAGACAGCAGAGTGGCTGGACGAGTCCGGCCGAGACTCCCCCTGCCACTCTGAAGAGGCATCATCTGATGAAGATCAAAACAGCAGGGCTCCCCAGTCTCACAGTGGGAAACACCAAAAACTGCTGAAGCATCAGGGAATGTTTCTAGAATGATGCTGTATGCAAGCCTTAGCTGATGAAACCACGCGAAGAACAGCTACCGCACGGGGCTACTAGGGAAAACTGATAAAAACGTAGGAACATTCCTTACGAAGGTTCCAGGGCCCCTGGGGATCTTCCCACACATCTCAACCTCTGCTCTCAAGTCCTGAGTTCTTGGGAACACATTCTTTCTGCCAAAACGGGCCCGGTCAGGCCTCTGGCCCAGCAGCAGGAACCCACAGTGAGTCTCACTGTCCTGATAGGCCTGAGAAGTGCCAGGAAAGCGTTTAAACCTCAGAAGAATGGAGATTTAGGCACATCGAGCACAAAGCCTACCCCGGAAGGTCAGACTTAACACTTCCCACAGACACCACCTGTGGGATTCCTCAGCATTTTGGCAAAAAAAAAAAAAAAAAATCTGTCTGGTTTCCAGGTTTTCTTGGAAGTAAATAAGGTTTTGGGTGGTTTTTTTTTCCAGTACCAGGGATCAAACTCAGGACCTTGTGCTTTCGAGGCAGGTGCACTGAGCTAAATTCCCGGCCTGGAAGTAAATAAGGTATTAATGAAATCATACGGGGAGAGAAAGAAATACCAGGCAAGGAGAAGAGTTATCTCATTTTCAGGCTGTTGGCCAGCAGAGAACTTTCTTTCAAAGAAGAGTCGTGGGCCACTACGAAAAATGTAAGTGAAAACCAAAATAAGTACAGGTGAGTGGAGACGACTCTTTGGGAAAAGAATTTGGGAGGTCACAGCAATAACAGGGAGAAGCCAAGCCCAGAGTGAAATCTACTCACTTACACATAGAAAATATAGCACACCAAGGTTCCAGGGCAGAGGAATTACTCATTGGCATATGGATTCAATAATTAACTCAGTAATATTATTAATAAATATGAAAACCTGCAGAATGTCACCATGTGCCAGTCATTTAACCCTGACACCTACCCGTCACCAGGCTCACTTCTGAGACGCAAACAGTAAGGCTCAGAGAGCTGTGGGCATGCTCAGGGCACACGCCTGCTCGGGCAGAGTCGGGACTTGGCCCAAGGCTCCACCTCTGGCCCCAGCGATCCTGACTGCCGGGTCCTGCTGCTTACCACGCACACAGGAGGCGAGTATGCAGTCAGGGGCTCTGACAAGATCACATGAAAATTACATATCACTTCTACTCAAAGGCTGGACCTGGGAAGTTCCCTCAGAACCCGGGAACTTATTCACTAAGTGGCCAGTGAGTCTCCAGAGAGCCTTTCTGACAGCACTGCCTCAGCAGCAGGGCAGGGGGAGGACACTAAGGCACCGGGGAGCACTCAGCCCCAAGCCACAGCCCTGCTCTTACCATTCCAATGCCTTCAAATGCAAAGATGGCTGTGCCGAAGAACAGAGGGTAGGTCCTCCAGGATGCCACCAAGGGCAGGTGGCTGGGGTTGGGGATCCTCTGAAAGAGACAGACAGAGCAAAGTGGAAGGCTACCCAGAGCTAACCCCAAGTGAAAGAGGTCACACCTCCCAATCCCAAGGTCCCACAAAGGGGGAGCGCCTGACAGCTGACAGGTGAGTTAGAGACACTTAGCCTTGGAGTTTTTTCTTCTCTCTAGGTTGGGAAAACCTTATTTGCTTTGGGGAAAGACTAGTCCAAAGTACTATAAAAGAGTCAGACGTTGGACTTGCGTAGAGTAGCATTCTTCCACTAGATAATCCTGGCCTCAGAAATTTGATGCAAATCAAAAATATCAAGTTCGATCCCCAGTACCAAAAAAAAAAAAAAAAATCAAAAGATGATGGAAGTTGCACAAAGCTATTTAGCAAAGTAACTGAAAACCAGCACTTTAAATATTCCCAAACAAGTGACAAGAAATTAGTCATACACCAACTATATCACAGAATATTATATACTGATTAAAAAGTATAAATTGGGATAACTAAATAGAACATGAAAACGTACTTATGAAATCACATTGAGCAAATATTTTTAAATTTATATGATCACTATGATATGATATACAAACAGCCCACATAAATAAAGCTGGAAGGAATGTTGGTCAAGTTTTAGATTAGCTCTTATCCTTTCTCTCTCTCCCTCTCTGTCTCCCTTCCTCTCCCTCTTTCTGTTTTGCAGTCCTGGGGACTGAACCTAGGGTCTCACACATATTAAGCATGCACTCTACCACTGGACTACAACCCCAGCCTGCCTGCTTTCTTTCCTTTCTTCCTTCCTTCCTTCCTTTCCTTTTTTCCTTTCTTTCTTTTTTGGTACCGGGGATCAAACTCAGGACCTTGTGCTTTCGAGGCAGGTGGTGACACCACTGAGCTAAATCCCCAGCCCTCTTTTTTTGAGACAGGGTCTCAGTAAGTCACCCAGGCCGGCCTCAAACCGTGTCCTCCTGCCTCAGCCTCCTAAATAGCTGGGGCTACAAGTGTGCACCACCACCATGCCGGGCTTTTTTTCTTGTCAATGAGGTTCCACATTTGGAAAATATTGAGAGGCACATAAAGCGTGTTGGGCAACATTGGGAAAAACATAGCAAAAGGAACATTAAAATATGGGCAAATAAAAGGCAATTGTTAGCTGGGAATGGTGGTGCATTCCAGTAAAGCTAGACTCTGGGAGACTGAGGCAGGAGGATTGCAAGTCCTGAGCAACTTTGCGAGATCCTGTCTCAAAATAAAAAATGAAAAGGGCTGAAGATGTAGCTCAGTGCACAGACCCTGGGCTCAGAACAAAGTGGAGAAGGGGACAACTGTTAACTGCAGGTACAAGGTAGGGCTGTAGGGCCATACTAGAAGGAGCCGCAGTCGGGGGATGCTACTTGGTTCACCACTGAACCGTGGTCACTGCTCACAGACCATGCAAATGATTGGGGCGGGGGGGGGGGGGCAGTGTGTTCAGAAGGTGCTGCCTTTCTAGAACTTGGCTTTTAAATCAAGTGCATACATTCTGCTTTGACTAAAAGAAAAGCCGACTTTCAAACTGCCTGTTCCAATGGGCCATGGCTTGGACACCGTTTGTCCCCTCCAAAGCTCGGGCTGCAATCTGACTGCCATCATGACAGTACTGTGCCCTTGACAGGTGCTTAGGTCATTAAAGGTACTAATCCCTCCTGTACCATGAAATGTGGTTAATTTCTGAGGGAATAAAGAAATCCTCATTCTCACGGGATGAGACTAGTTATGGTGAGAGCATTAGAAAGCTCTCACGTCAGCCCAGACCTGCTCACCAGTGCTGACCAAGCAGTGTGCATTTGTAATTTTGACAGATAAATGCAAAACTAGAGTTGGTGGAGAATTACCTTATCTAAACACAGATTAGAAAAATCAATTTTTATTTTGATCTTAATTTTTCCCCCTATTTTCCAATTGTATACAATGATCATCCACTAAGAGTTGAATCAAAAACATTCGAAACCAGTTTGATTTCAACTCAGGTGACTGAGGGCACGTCCCCAGGACATGGGCAGCATCTAGAGAATTTTGGGTTGTCACAGCTGGGGGCACAGTTATCTCTTCACCTACAGGGTAGAGACCCGGATACTGCTACCATATAGGACAGTCCCACAATAAAAAATCATCTGACCCAAAATAACAGTACTGATACTAAGGACTTCTCCTCTAACTACACCATGCGTAAGTAACACATAACTACTTACACTCCATTTTGTTTTGTTTGCCTGTCTGGTATTATTTCATGGGACAGGATGGTCCGGGCTCGTACCTGGACTATGAACTGGTAGATCATGACCAGGCTGACCAGCATGCTCATGTTGGCCAGCAGCGAGAAGATGGACAGGACCCGGAGGTTGCGGATGAACACCAGCAGCACCAGGAAGGGCAGGAAGGCGAGCATGTAGAGACGCGAGTCCATGGTGGGCGTCAGGATCACTGTCTCGTTGTTGTGGCAGTTGTTTGTGGTCCTGTTGGCAGCTTCGACCACCTAGAATGAGGGGAAGAAAGAAGAAGCGCCCTCCAATGACAGCGCCTGTGGGTGTCGTGACAAGGAGTTCCTGCCTAGAGGATCCCGTGAGTGAGCGAGGCCTCAGAGACACCAGCGGCCCGGGAGCCTCCCTGGAGATCTCCATGGTTACCAACAGCAACCCAACTGTCCATGCTGGGTTTGACCACATCTCTCTTAAGACAGAAGGATGGACCAGACATCTTGGGGTTTCTCTGCGCCCTAGACTCCACAAGAGAATCAAACAAAAGAAACTGTGTATATGAGGTACTAAAACCTTAACTCTTCTGTTGACCAAAACTAGCTTGGAAAGAACCCTAAATAGAAATTCGACGCATCTCTTGTCATTCTCGCTTTGCTCAGGACCCTACCTGTTTAAAGTTGTCAGCCAGAAACACGAAATAGACACAGCAGAATCCCAGCTGAGTGACGATCAGGAAGAAGTCCACGGTGCGCCTGGAGACGGGAGGGAGGAGTAGAAAGATCATCACGACACAGATGCAAGACCCCAGAGAGACGGTGACTTAAAGGTGCTGCTGAAGTCATCACAGACCCTTCCCAGCAGGTGGCGAGGACAAGCATGTCCTGGTGAGGGAAGAAATGTGTCCGTGCCCCCAGCCTGGAGCTTCGGGGAAGGAGAGGAGGCTCTGTCCTTGGGCTCCCAAGGTCCCTTTCCTGGTCCTCTGTCTAGACTGCTGCCTGAGGACAGGGAGTCAGCACAGCACAGCTCGGGCTCCGTGACCACAGTGCAGCCCCGACCTCCTCCTGGCCCACTGCCCACACGCCCCATTTCAGGCAAATAAAAGACCTGGAAGAACACCCTTCATGGGATCGTCCTATAACCTGTACCCAAAAACTGACCTAAATGTTCCCAAACCGACAGCTGGTGGGAGGACAGTTATGCAATAGCTGACAACAACCTAAAGGGCCATCCTCAGGAAAGCAATTAAATTATAGACCATTCCTAAATGGGGCACTGTTTAGCAGCTGGAAAGAGTGTATTAGGTCATAAAATTTGTTTATTTATGTGACATAGTCAATCTGCTCAATGAACTCACCCTGTCATTTACAGGAAGAATGACACTTGTGTTCATATCAGTAGATAAAGTGGTTGCATTCAAAGCTAAACTAGGTTATGGAGGCAATGAGTGAACATTAGGATTTCTAGCATGTTTTCAACATTAACAAATATTTTGAAAGAGACTGAGCCAGGGCTTTCTTTCTCCCCAGTGTTTCATGATTACCCATTTCCACTTTCAAAATTGAGCATTACTTCCAAGCACTAGAGGACCTTGTACTGAACAGGAATGGATCTATAACACATTAGCGAATAAAGCAAGTGAATTCACTTTTTTAGTTCTATGTCAACTGCCTGAGATCACAAACGATGGTGGCTATAAAAATATTTTTGACACAAAGTCTTCATACGGTATGGATTAAGGTTAAGGTGGAAATATACCAAGATTGCCACCATAGCACTGAAAATCCTGCTTCGATTGGAAGGAATGTATTAAATCTGTATGTGCTGATATGGAAAAATATCTAAGACATTTAAGGAGAAAAAGCAAATTTCCAAACAATACCTAATATAGCTTACAGGGCTGAGGATTTAGCTCAGTGGTTCCACCGCCTGCCTCACAAGCACAAAGTCCTGAGTTCGATCCTCCGTACCAAAAAAAAAAACCTTACATGTGCAAAAACAAAATTTTTTTTCAGAACGTGTGAATGTTTGTCCATATAGAAAGTTCCAAAAGGGTACCCATGTAACTGTGTAAAAGTGTTTACTTTTAACTTTATGTCCTTCTATCTTGTTAAAAAATGCTTTGCCTATGAGAACCCATTTTATTAAAAGGGGAGGGCTCTGGAAAGACAGGAAGAGAAGGAGGGAGGAAGAAGTAATGACCAACCAGCCAAACAACTTATAGTAAGCACCTGGCAATCCGGCTTCTCCCAGCCAACAGAAATGGATTTTGCCAACAGAACGACAGAATCTGTATCACAGGAAGAAGCCGACTGAATGAAGACAAGTTTCCTCTCTGACCTCTAAAACGGGACTTGATTCTAGAAAACGGGGCTTTCAGTGATTCAATTAAAAAAAAAAAATTCAGCCCTTGATGGTATCAATTCTCAACATCTAGATACAGGAAATAGAAACAGTGCATTTCCCCGCAGACATCTGAAAAGTCACACACTCTCCTAGACCTGTGGCCTTGCTGGCTCCCCTCTCACCTCGGACGTGTTTCCCGTGCACACCGGCAGGCCAGAGCCCTGCTGCAGCTCCCCCTCCAACACCCCAGATGTCTGCTTCACCGTGCTCCTCTCCCCTAGCAGAAGTCATTACGCTCTCCCACCTTGTTCTCTGGCTTCTTCTCCTATGGATCTTTCTCCCTACACTCTGGAAGGGTGGGAGCCACACGATTTACCCCAGGGAATCTCTCCTTCCAACCTAGAGCTGTTCTGTGCCACTCAGAAGTGGAGGGCTTAGAATACATTTGCTGAACAAATAAGTGAACCAAACATAATCACTGGTCACAGCCTGTCAAAGCGGGACCGGTCATTAGAGAGCATTCAGGCCAGGCCCCAAACCCAGGCCAGAGAAGAGGGCCCGCAGCCCAGGGTCACGAGGGTCTCTGCCAGCAGAGCTGCCCCAAACAGCACGCCCACTCCTGATGTGGCCCCCACCTCCCGGCCTGAAGCCTCTGCTCTGGGAGGCCGAAGCAGTTACCTTCCCCAGTGGGCGTGGTTCCGGAGCCAGGGGCTGGGGCTGGCTTCTAGTCCATACATCACAGTGTCCCCGTAGTCCACAAAGGGTTTGTTCAGTCTGGGAGAGGGAAGGGACAGAGGAAGGGCAGAGTGCGGATTAGACAATGACAGTGACAGAACTAATGGAGCCAGGTCCCCACTGGTCACCCACAAGGTGCCACTCAGGTCCTCCATCTAACGCTTTCAAGGCTCACAAGCGCTGAGTCCCCGGGACAGTTGCTTTCAGAGTAACTCACAACCATCCTGTAGAACCGTTTCAGCGGAGTAGCACCATAAAGGACAGGAAATTCAGACGTGGCCTCTGTCCACCAGACATAAGTGTCACAAATGACAACCCAGGGAAAGCGGTCCTTCAGTAACGAGCAGCCGACAATGGGAAGGACTGAGCATAAGCCATGTGAATTCCCACGTCTGGGGTCGGTAAAGAAACCAGAAATAAGTTTGTCACCCGAGAAGCAGCTAAGAGGGCGCTCACCTGTGGCAGAAGTGGTGCGCACACTTCACCAGGATGCCCATGCAGTGCACGGCCACCACGCCAATCACCAGCAGGCTGAGGGGCCCCAGCTGAGAACAGGTGGTACAGGCAGGAGAGAGAGAAACAGAGTGAGTCCAAGGGAGATGCGATTCACGAATGACTGAAATGCTACTAAGCACTTTCCAGGCACAGGACTCCTGGCCCAGCTGACAGAGAAGCAGTGGTGGAGCTGCTGTGTGAGGCGGGCGCTACCTGAGCCTTTGCGCCTCCCAGAGAGCCAGCCCCGTGGAGAATGACTCAAGGGGAGTCCCTTCCGAAACTGCTGCACAGTGCAGACCAGAGATGGCAAAGGGACGCAGAGGGACAAGGGGAGGCAGCACTAGGGCAAGGCCGCTCTGAGAGAGACAGCTCCCAGCTGAGGACAAGCCACATCTCTGCATGTGGGCAGACAGTCTGGACGAATCCTGAGGAGAGGACGTGTGATTCTCAGGGCAGCCACTCAGGGATGGGGCTGGGGACTGTGAGACAAAGCACAGGCTTCTGTCGCCAACTCCTTAGTTCACGTGAATGATGGAAACTGCCCAGCCCCCTGCGAGGTCTCCATCACAGAGTAAGCTGCCTGCGGACAGGGATCTCTGTCTGATTCGCTGACAGTCCAACAACCTGGACAGCGCTTGGCCACAGATGGCCCTTACTAAACACCCTCACACGAATGGACGGCTCAATTTTGCTTTTTCAGCTGAATTTTTTTAAAAGCTTCTCTACTTGTAGTGTTTTAAGTGAAATAATCAAAAAATAAAACACCCTCTCCTAAAGCACTTTCCCACACGGGACAGACCCTTACCAAGATGCCTGCATTTTTCACCGCCAGAGGCAGCCCCAGGAGTCCCGTGCCAATGTTGCCTTTTAACAGGTGGATCAAGGTCTGGAACCACCTGAAGTGAAGGAAGGAGACAAGGACGTGTGAGCCACAGCAACAGCTAAGGCTTACGAAGCACTTCACACCGTATCCAGGCCGACATGCACTATCTCACTGGATTCCTCCAACAACCCTGGGAGATTTTATGCATAAGGAAGCAGTGTGCTCAAGGTCACAGACCTAGTAAAGAGCTGAGCCGGGCCTCCAGCCCAGGGAGTCTCGCCCCGGAGTGCACGCTTACCCTGTGCCACAGGCCCCTCTCGCGCATCAGGCAGAGGGACACTGGGCTCTCGCCAGGCCCTCCACCCTCTCCTTCCAGAATGGGCCTGCTCCTAACCACTGAGCTGACTCCCAAAACAGCAAGAGGAGCCCGGATCCTCTAACAGGACGTTTTATAAAAAATGAACAAAGTAAAGGTGAGGCAACACCATTAGAGGCTGGAGGTCCACAGTGCACTTTGAATTTAAAAAAAAAAAAAAAAGAAGAAGAAGAAGCCAATTACTGTCTTGTCCTAGCACTGCAGAAGCCATCTTTGACAGAAACCCACCTGGGTAGCCAGTGACCCTTCTGACTTGGGCCAAGCTGTCCCCGCCCTACTGGTATTCCCTCAAGTTGCAATGCGAAAGCCCCCACATGCCCTTATTCACTCTTCACCATCTACCATGTTAAAACAGTGTACTGAAGGACCAGAAATAGGGAAGAATCAGACGAGGAGCTCAGCTTCTGAAAATCAGTAATTCAAGGAAAATAAGGGGACGCATTAATAACCATGCAAGGTGGGAAAAAAATATCCTCACTTAAGAGAAGCCCAGGAACAGAGCCCAGAGAAAAGAGGCCCAGCTAAGGCTTGGCAGGGCGGACAGAGCCGAGGTGGGTGCAGCAGGGCATACAGGGTAGTACAGGAACCACTGGGGAAGAAGATGCCCCGGGAAAGAGGGCGCCGGGGGAAAGAGCCCCAGACAGAAAGCAAGGCGTGCCGGGCAGCTGCAGGAGAGCGTCCAGGGAGCGCCCCTCCAGCTCCAGGGAGTGGGGGCGCATCGAGGGGAGACAACTGAGGAGCACACGCGTCTCAGTACTTTTCTCTTGCCCTTTGTTACCGCCAAAGGAAAAGGAAGCAAGTCAAATGCGCTACCACTCGGTCTAAAACCACTCAGGATCTGGCCCCTGACAGTCAATGTCTGGAAATCCCTCAAAACTGTCACACATTTTTTTCAAGTTTGAAATTCACAAGTAACACTTGTTACTCATAAAGGCCATTAATAAGACCTAGCCACACCCTCTGGAAAGTAATTTTACCCTTCTGCTCTGACCCTCAGGAAGAAATTCTCTTGATCTCCCCACTGTGCTCCATATTTTCAGGAGAGTAGAAAGCAGATGGGAGCTGCCAGGGTCCAGAGACGGCAGCAGCAGGCAGGGACCAGGGATAATGGGCTATTAAACTTCTGTCTCGGTGAATGCTTAACCCACCTGGTGCAAAGGTAAATGCTGTACCACACCCATGTGCCTACCAGTGGCCCCCTAAAGTCCCTCTGCCCTGCCGCCACCCCACACGAACAAATCCCTTCGCTCCTCTGGGCTGCTGCTTCATCTGTAAAGTGAGGGGATTCAACTAGGACAGGATGGTTTCTGTGGTCCTTTGGCTCAGGAAAACCAGGAATCCAAGCCACTGATCAAAGCCGCTCTTTGCAAAAGATGGCCCTGAACTGAGATTACCCAATACCGCGTGAGTATCAGAACACCAACCCCAGGGGCTGGACTGTCTTTCTGAAAGGGAAGAGAGAAGCCTAGCAAACCGCTGTAGTGCTGTTTCTATTCCATCAGTAGTTCTTTCTTCTTTGTGGTCTCATGACCTCTTTATTCTCTGATAAATGAAGGATCCCAAACAGCTCTTATGTAGATTATATCTGCCTGATATATATTAAAATTTGTAACAGAAAAAATTTAAATATATAATTAAAAAAAGACAATTTCACTACATGTTAATATAAGTAACATTTTTTAAAAGTAACTCAATTTTCCAAAAAATTGTGAAAACAGTACTTTATTTTTTTTAATGTCTTCAATGTCTTGCTTAAATAAAGATAGAAAATTTGTTCTCTCTAGACATATAGTTGGATAAGGAAGTAGTATTCCATTATGGGAATTTTTCTGTCCCACTACTCCAAAATGAAACAGTGATAGTTTCTTAGAGGTTAGCTGCAAAGAGGGATGTGAACTTTTTATTATATTCAAATCCATGGGTGATCTTGCTCTTTGGTAGATCTTTTACCTATGCACAATTCTAACATCATACTTTGGTTATTTGACAGATACTGGTCCCCTAAGTTACGCAGATCCTCCGAGCCCAAGACCTTTCATTACAGAATACCAAAAAACCACATTCATTAATGTCGCTGCTGGTCTCACTGGAAAGGTTTTTTGTTGTTGTTGTTGTTACCAGGGCTCGAACTCAGGACCTTGTGCTTGTGAGGCAGGCAGTGGAACCACTGGGCTCAATCCCTGGCCCTCACCAGAAAGTTTTATGTAGAGAGAAGCTGTCAAGCTCACAGAGCTGGACACAAGGAGGTTTTCTGGTTGTTTTTTCTAATTTTGCTTGAAAGATCAAATTTCACTGTGGGCAACAAATACCGTTGACTTTTTTTCAAGTTGATGGGTTCATTTCCGAGAAAACGGATTCTTTTCTTTCATTTCCAAGAAAATGCCAACTATTCAGTTCGGACTGAACTATACTTAATTATTCTTTCTAGTAAAAATAGTGTTTTTAAAAGCAGCTAGTTCAAATAGCAGCCACAGCTCTCACTGCAGGCTTCACTTTGAGAAGGCTCACACTTTGGTATTTTTCATTTGTGCTTCAGTCTCTGACATACAGCATATTAGGTAACCTGTACTGAAGGGTTAAGATTTAATAAAATTAGCGATTTCACTCATTTTATTTTCAACATTCTTGATGAACCTGGATTTCTTTTCCTTCTGTGTGGCAGCAGAAAGTACAGTGAGGATGGGCATAATCTGTCACCATTCCTCAGTTCACACTGCAGTGCCTGCCATTTCACTCACACTGCATCTGCCTTACCAGTGTAAAGAGGGAAAGGCCAAGGACACCTTAGTGTTAGGATGAAGGTGTTTTGTCCTCTTAGACTTGGTGAAATGATTTGGGCACCCCAAAATGACTGCAGACCACACTTAGCAAAGGGCCGCTCCCAAGGGCACCTAGAGAAAGCCAGTTCCAGCCAGCTGGTTTCTCACCTGCCCATCTGCGGCAGAAACACCGAGGCACGACCACTAGCTGCTGTTATGTGACTTAACGAGAAGGAAAATGCATCCAACAATGTACACTGAGGCTGCCGTCAAAGAATTCAACAGCTTGATAACATCAGATGTTACGAAACAGTCTCACTAAACACACCATCATATGCACCCCATAATTAGGGTCTGAACTGAACCTTTAACTTCCACAAGAGCCAGTGGGTCGTCAGTGTGTATACAAGAAGCTATAAGTATTTCCATGTACTGTGTTCCTTAGCAAACTACCTAACAGGGCAGGGCAAGCACAAGCAGGCAGGGAACTCAGCTCAAATCTGTCCTTAACACAGCATACATATCAAGAGGTTCCCTCGGGCTAACAAGGGTCCCCAAATCAACCCATTACTGACTCACACTGGGCATGTTTTCTACATAGATGCTAGCATCTGCCATTCCTGTGCCCCAGGCAGGAAGCAACAAGTCTTCCAGGTCTCAAAGGAGCCCTTCTCCCTAGACCAACTGTGATGGGGCTGCAACACCTGCCATCAGCTACAGACAGGCTTTCCTGGTCCCTGCCTCACACTGCAACGTCAGAGCAGGACGGGAAGCCCAGACCCAAGTACGCACTGGAAAACGGCCCAAAACAAGCTCAAGGAAAGCATCTTCTGAGGTGCTCAATGTGTCACAAGGTAGGGGAAGGAACTTTGGACTGACTGCTAGTGATAACCCTATGTGGAAAGAAGGAATTCAGAACAGCTCACAGGCAGGCGTCCGTCCAATCTCCAAAGCCTGGCGGTGCCTCTCCTGACAATGCCTGCTGGTTACTTTTGCACTTTACAGATCCTCGTAAAAAGGAAACTCCAGACCTCCTATGGCAACCATGGATAAGCTGATGCTCCAAAACAAGAAGGGCCAAAAAGTGGAAGGGAAACCAGAGAGAGGGAAGCTTGAGGCACAATTTCACAGTGACAGCATGGCCCCCGGAGCAGCTGACACCGGCCACGGCTGTGTGTGGAGCTCCTTCTGCGTGGGGACGCCAATGGGGTGGACAAGGTTCAAGGACAGAGGGGAAGTGTGGTCCTCACTGCTGACAGCTGTGCTCGAAGCAATCTTTGTTTTTTTGTTTTTGAGGGGTTTTTTGTTTGTTTTTTTGGTACCGGGGATCGAACTCGGGTCCTTGCGCTTGTGCAGCAGGCAGCGAAACCACTGAGCTAAATCCCCAGCCCATCGAAGCAATCTTTTCTGCCAGCTAAAACTGCATGCAAAAGGGGAATCTACAAAAGCACACCATGTGAGAAATGAGCTGCAAAGCCAGAATCTTTGTACAAAGCAGCTCGTGGTGGCGAGGGGCTGGTCCTGTGGACAGACCAAATCCTCTAGATCCATTCCGGTTCACAGAAGACAACAGCCTTCCCGGGAGAGAGTGTCCGAGAGACGGGGCTCTAAGACAAGCTTCTGTGGTCCCGGGACGACAGAACCCTAGGACACAGACGACCCCAGCCCACAAGGGAACACAGGAAGGGTGAAAGCTAGGATTGGAGATGAGAAGCAGAGCTCCAAAGGACAGGGTCCTGCGGTCCCAAGAGACATCAGCAGTCTGCTGAGCTCAGGAGGCAGCTGGGAAACCGTGGAGGAAAAAGCGCCCTCTGAATCTTCCGATTCAAGTGCTGATCACCACACAGCACAGCTTGAGGTCAGGCCCCTCAAATTGGTTCTTACATTTGGGTAAAGTGAGGCCCAAAAGTGCCAAATTCAGCCCAGAGTGGTCTCCGGTTTCAGTTTCCAGGGACAAGACCTAAGCTCTCTTTAAGGAACCAAAGTATTCTCCTCTTCCCCACCGGCTGCTGGAATGTTTAGGTTCAGAAGCGACTGCTCCCTCTGCTCCCTTCTGCAGCAGCTGGAGTGGCTCCTCTGGGATGGGGCGGAAGTGGGGGTGGTGTGCCAAGGAGGCTTCCGACTGGGCTTGTGGCATTTAAAGTTCTAGTGCAGATGACACATGGTTCTGAAATAAGACAACGTCCTCTCTACACGCTTAAGTCCAAGCGCTTACTGAGCACCCGAGTTCTCTGACTACCAGCTGAAACACAGAGTAAGAAACAGTGGCAGGCAAGAGGGTGACTCTCGGTGCTGTCCCTTACCCGGCTGTCACTCACTGACTCTGCACAGCTCACTTTCTACAGTGCGGAACTGACAAGAGGGGCAGGCACACTTTGGAACACGACTCCCACCCCGGGGGAGAAGGTAGCAGCTACTCACGTTGTGTTGTTGCTTTCCCCAAAACGCTGGTAGGCACCGGGGGAGAAGTTGCCCAGACCCTCCGACGGGCTCTCCTCCGGGCTGGCGTCAGTGGAGCTGTAGTCCTGGTAGTCTTCATTCCGGAGCCTCTCTGTGGACATGGTGGCTGGGGGCACAGGGTCAGCGTTAACACCTGCAGCAGCTGGGCCCATGAGCTCCAAGTCTGGGGCAGGCTCTGGGGCAGGAGCAGCCATGGTCACAGCTGCTTACAGGGCCAGTTGCACTGTGGATTAAGTACAGCCACAGTCCCTGGTACCAAGGGAAATTCAAGAGGTGCAAAGTACACGGGGCCAGGCTGAGCTCCCTCAGCTCGTGCTGCCAGCCCTCCCGGTGCACGCCACTCATAAATGCCTACATTTTCCTCGGTGCACCTGAACTGAACAGAGCAGAGACGAGGCAGTGCGGGGTGCAGGGAGGGCGGGGCCGATGCAGAGAAGCACTTCCAAGAAGCCTTCCTGTTCCCCCTGCCAGGGTTAACTACTCCTTCCACGGGGCCAATTTCTTGTTCCTTGAACAAAAGTCACGCACACGTCTCTCCCAAGAGCAAGCTCTCAGAGGATGGGTATTTCTCACTGGACCCTCTTTCCTTTGCCCTCACTAGAGAATCTTGGTATACATGGCCTTGTTCCCCGTAGCTCTGTGGCAGCCTGTACAGGCCCTGAGGATCCTTTTAAAAAGAGGAGGAAAGAGAGGAGAGGGAAGAGGGAAAGGCCCACCCTCTGGGCAACTCAGTCCTGTCAGACTCCTCACTGGGTCCAAGAACTACCAGTCTTGACCGCCTCCTTTCTGCCGTGGCCTCAGGCTTGTTCTGTCCTCTGCAGGCATTATCGGGAGCTGGGCACCGAGGCACACATCTGTCCTCCCAGCACTCCGGGGAGCTAAGGCAAGACAATCACAAATCTGAGCCCAGCCTGGGCAACTTAGCAAGACCCTCTCTCAAAACTTCAAATTTTTTATTGGTAAATGGGAAGAAAAACGTTCAGACGGAAAGGGGAACAAGAGAGGAGGGAAGGACAAAGGGAGAAACGGACAGGAAAAAAAAGGGAAAATAAAAGGGAAAAGGGGAAACAAAGCTTTTGTACATAGGGAGGGGAGGGGCGCAAGAGGAGGGGGAATGGAAAAAAATAAAATTTATTTTTTAAATGTTTTTAAATACCCAGGGATTTAGCTCAGTGGTTCTGCTGCCTGCCTCGCAAATGCAACGACCCAAGTTCGATCCCCAGTACCAAACAGAAAAAATTTTAAACCTTCAAATTGTTGTTGTTGCTACTGTTAAAGATCAGGGGATGTAGCTCCGGGGGAAGGCGCTGGGATCGATCCCCAGCACAGCATAAGAAGCTATCAGAAACCCTCACCCCCTCACCCCGGGGCTGCCAAATTGAAAAGTGAGAAATGGCAGCTGGAGCATCTCCGAGAAAGGCCAGGAACATGAGGTCGCATGGAGCCCTGCCTTCATCTCCCTACCTCCCATCCACAGCCCTAACTAACTGGGCCCTCAGCAGCAAAGCCCCTCAGCCTTCTCCTGGCCCAGAGCAGGTCCTAAATACCAGAATTCTTCTCCTCTCCCCCAAAGCTGCCACTGAACGTAGAATGGCCACTTTCTTCGCCCTTCTCCTTGGAAGATCCTCATTATCCCTGGATATAGGGAAGGAATTCTACCCAGGGAGGCCAAGGAGAATCTGAATACACAGGCCTTCCTTGCGGGGTTTCCCGCTCAGGACTGATCTCAGGGCCTTCTCACTGAGCTACAGACCCAGCCCTCTTTAATACTCTGGAGACAAGGCCTCACTAGGCATCTAAGTTGCCCAGGCTAAGCTCAACCTTCTAATTCTCAGAGTGCTGGGAGTACAGGCGTGTGCCACCATGCCTGGCTCCAGTCCATTTTTGAAGGATTCCATGTCATATAAAACAAATGTTACCCTTGTCTCATTAACCCATCTTTAACAGGAGGGTCAGCAGTGACCTTTATGAAGGGCAGGAAAGGTATCACACCCCCTGTTCTCTGCCACACCATCTTCCTTTTAATTTTAATGAGTTTGCTCAAGTTTAAAAGAGGGTGAAAGAAGCAGCCCTTCCCGTTGTGTGAGGCTGAAGGTTGGGAAGGGTGGAGTCCCCTGTGGAATCTCTCCCTGAGGCTACTGTAGAAAAGCAAGACCAAGGGCTGCTCTAAGACACATGACGAGGAACCCTGTGGGCGCTGTAGAAGCCCCCAGAGACCTACAGACTGCTGCTAAACGCACTCCAACCCCACATCTTACACATGAAGAATGAGCCCCCAGGATGCAGGATCCACCCTGCTACAGATAGGGAGCAGCAAAGCAGAAAATGTGCATCCATCATGATGCTCCTCCGTCTGAACTGGGAACATCTACTGAAAGCAGTGCAGGGAGCTGTGAGGGATACTACAGTGAAAAAGAGCCAACTTCCTGCCCTTCAAGACATGCAATCAAGTAAGGGGGAATGTACATTGACAACAAGATTAGAAATAAAAGTTCTGACACCTGGGAGAATGTGGCTGAACCTCACCTGAGTCTGATGTGCAATCTCAGAAATCTGACACAGAGACCAGACAGCCAACCAGCATTACAACACCCCATTCACCCTGTATTCATTGCTTTTCCATCGCAAGGACAAAATACTCGACACCTGCAACTTACAGGGAGAGAGAATTATTCGGCTCACAGTTCCACTGGCTCCAAGACAGAAAGAGCCTGGCTGAAGCGCAATGCAGAGGAAAGGTGCTCAACCCATGGCAGCCAGGAAGCAGAGGAGAGAAGCCAGAGAAAGGTCTGCACCCTCCAAAGGCAGCTCCAGGGACATGGCTCTTCCAACCTGTCCCCAACTCCTCATGCCACATTTAGCTATGAACTCATCAATGGATGAATCTACTGATGGGCGTAGCACCCCCATTATCCAATCACCTCTCAAATGCCCTACCTCTAACCACATGAGACTTTGGGGGGACATTCTAGATCTAAACCATAACACCCCAACACCAGATGCCATAGGACAGCTCTATGCCAAGGGCTCCACAAGGCCAGTCCCTGGAAACTATTGAAAAGTGGCCCTGCCCCAGAACCAGGCGACTTTCTCCCACTGTTACGGCTTATATCTAGATGTCCCCCTAAAATCTCATGCACTTACAGGTGTTGCTTTTGGGAGGTGACTGGACCGTGGGTGTGTAATACTAGATTAGTCCATTGATGGGTCTTAGCAGGGTGTGATGTTGGGAACTGAAGCCTGATAGGAAGAGGTGGGTCACTGTGGGTGCTGCCTAGGGTGTACATCCTTCCTCTTCCCTTCTGGCCGCCAGGTCATAAACTTTTTCTCCTCTGCGATGCCCCTCTGCCACACTGCCCTGACTTGGAGCCAGCTGACTATGTACTGAAACCTCTATAAACCTCGAGCCAAAATAAACCTTTTTTTAACTTGTGGGTATTAGGTATTTTGTCCCAGAAATGAGAAAGTAATTAAGACAGATTTTGGTACCAGAGGTGGGCTTGTTACTGGGACTGTACATGACCATGTGATTCAGAAGCCTTTGGAACTGGCTTGTGGGAAGAGTTTGGAAAGTTTTGAAAATGCCAGCTGGAGAAGCAGCCATAGAATGGTATGAGCCAAGCTGGATGAGAGATTCTAGTCAGAGTTCAGAAGACCAGAATGCTGACAGAAATAGAGCTGGTAAAGACTAGACTCAGGAGATTTCAGTTGGGAACAAGGACTGCATTGGCAGCTGGACTCCAGACCATGCATTAATACTTTGGCAGAAAATTTATCTGCATTTTGCTCATGTCCAGAGAAATTGTAGGAGACAGATTAAGGGCAGCACATTAATTAATCCAGGGGAAGAAATTTCAAGGCAGTCTAATGCTGAGGCAGTGCCATGGCTACTGTTGGGGGCTATTAGCTAGCTGTACCTTCAAAGTCAAGAGCAAATGGCCCAGCAGAATGATTTAAAAAGTTTTGAGTTTGGCTAGGTAAGGAAACTCTAATAAAGCTATGGCCTACAAAGATGGAGCAGAGGAGAACTTGGTCGCTGAGAAGGACCAGGACAACAGAAAAGATGGCCTGAGGGTATCATAAGAACCGGCAGGACTCTACCTTTTGTAGGATCAAAACTGCAAAGGTGAAAGACTGCTTCGAGAAGAGAGCTCCAGGGAACCATGCTCCAGAATGGCAGGACCTGGGGAATTTGTTCCTCAGGATTGGGTTCATAGTTCTCAGCAATCCAGGCATTCAACCCCTACAGCCAAGAGAAAAGGAAACCTGGCTACTGCTCAGCTCATGGCAGACCTTGGCATCATCCATACGGTGCTGGTTTTAGGCACACACAGAATGCAAGAATTCTACCCAAATTTCAGAAGTCGTCCTGAAAGGCCAGGTAGTGTGCTCCCGAGAGGGCAGTGTATGAAACTGGGAGTGTTAAGCTGAAAGTACAGTGGCCCAAAAAGGGGAGATGCCTTTTTTGAAGATGCCACAAACACAGGTCATCTGAGCAAAGCTGCAAGAAGTGACCAAAGCCAGCCCAAAAGAGAAGTGATGAGGGACCCAACCACCAGCAGTACCACAGGGGTGAGGCCACCTAAGCCCTTTGGAGTTCATAACCTGCCACAGATTGTCCTCGTGTTGGACATGGAACTATGGGATTTGATGCTTGCCCTGCTAGATTTTGGTCTTGCTTTGATCTCATTTGACTCTATCCCTCTATTTGTACCTTTTGGAATGGGAATGTCTATCTTGTGCCATTGTATGTTGGAAGTGTTTAACTTTCTTTTCATTTTTACAGGGGCTCACAGCTAAGACTCTGCCTTATATCTCAGAGGAGATTTTGAGTTGGACTTTTCAGCAATGCTGAAACTGTTAGGTCTTTTGGCAACTCTTAGAGATGGACTCAATGCATTTTTCTTAAAGAGATGAGTCTTTTAGGTCAGAATGTTATGATTTATGTCTAGATGTCCCCACAAAACCCTTCATGCACTCATGGCGGGGGGTGACTGGACTGTGGGTGTATGATACTGGATCCGTCCACCGATGCATTTTAGCTGAGTGTGATGTTAGGAGGTGAAACCTGGAGGGGAGAGTTGGCAGCTGTGGGTGCTGCCAAGGATAATGCTCATCCTTCCTCCTCCCTTCGTCGCTTCTTGCTTCTTGCAGCCATGTCATGAACTCTTTCTCCTCTGCCACGCCCCTCTGCCATGCTGCCTTGACTTGGAGCCAATCAACTATGGACTGAAACCTCTACAAACTGTGCACCAAAATAAACCTTTCCTCCTTTAACTTGTGGGTATTAGGTATTTTGTCCCAAAAATGAGAAAGTAACTAAGATACCCAACTGGAACATGTGAAAGATCCCACACAATCTCACAAGGAAGGTACTTGGCAGAAAGTCAGTAACAGACCCACATCTGTTTTCTGTTGCTACAACAGAATACCTGAGCCTGGGTAATTTATAAAGAAAAATCTCACTGTCCTGAAGGTCCAAGACTTTCCAAGTATGTGGCACCTGTGTGTGCTTGGCCTCTGTTGAGAGCCCCGTGGTTGCATGGCAGAAAAGTGAAAAGCCAGTGGGCACGTGAAGAAGAGAGGTCACACACGGTGAGAGGGACAAAGGGGTGGTACTAAGGTTGCTTCATAACAACCCACTCTCACCATAAATAATCAACCCATCCTCCCGGAAATTACATTAACCCCTTCATGAGGGTGAAGCAAGTCCTCATGGCCTAATTACCTCTGAAAGATCCCACCACCTCTCAATGCCATTACACTGGGGACCAAGCTCAGTATGAGTTTTGGTGGGGAAAAACTATATTCAAACCATACAGAACCTGCAAATCTCAGGGAGGACCCTGCCTAGCTTCACTGCCAGAGTGTTGTAGATAAAAATCTCAGAGGGCTTCATTTCCTCAAGTCCTGGGGGAATTCAAGGATAGCATCCAGCTCTGGGGTAATTAAACTTCAAAGAGAATCAAGGAGAAAAATCTATGAAGTATCTTAACACAAGAGGTTGAAACCCTCTTGCTATGCAGGCAAAAGCCAGTAAGCTGGTTTATACATATGTCAGGAGGCTTGAGTTCTAAGCCTGCCTCCATCACCAGTTTGTGCATAACTTTGAACAATTTTCTTTCTGTAGGATGTTAGTTTTCAAACATGGCAAAAAAGGGTGGAGAGGGTAGACTAAAATCTCTCTCAGCTCCTCTCCAGTTCTAATATTCCAGAAACTAGTGAATGTATTCATGCAAACAATAGCTAATGTCTCTTCCAACATACTGAAATCACCTGAGGACGAGAACCTTCCAAGTGAACTCTGTATGCTACTGAAGTTCTCCAATTTCTCTCCATCAACCGAGAAATCACCGCTGCTTACTCAGTACAGATGCTGAATGTATTCCAAACACTATAAAGAGTCTTGTTCTGCCGCCTGCCTCGCAAGCACAAGGTCCCAACTTTGATCCCCAGTACCAAAAAAAAAAAAAAACCCTAAAAAAACAGAGTCTTGTTTATGTTGTATATAAACAATGAACTTACCCACAAGAGAATGTTGCTAAGAAAATGCAAAAAAACTGAAATCTAGGGGCTGGGGATTTAACTCAGTGGTTTCAGCACCCGCCTTGCAAGTGCAAGGTCCCGAGTTCGATCCCCGGTACAAAAAAAAAAAAAAAAACCTGAAATCTATAGATCTAAAATGCAATAAATAACAGCAAGTTGCAGGTGAGGTAACTTAGCAACTGCATGCCAATTTAAAAAGAAAAAAGAGGGGCCAGAGATTTAGCTCAGTGGTTCCAGGGCCTGCCTGGCAAGTGCAAGGTCCCGAGTTCAATCTCCGGTACCAAAAAATAAAAAAGAGAAAAGAGCTACTTAGGGGCTTTAAAGAAGTCAATAATATAATAATAGATGTCAAACAAGGAAACATAATCCTAGGTTACATCAGGAAGGGAGACAGCCAGGTAGATGAGAGCCAGTCAGTTTAGCCGTGCACTGTACTCTTTCCTGGGCAGGACAGTAAAACAAGAACAATGACAGGCTGGCACACCCAGGGGTCCAGGCAACTAAATGGGGAATGGTGGGAAGCACTGAGAATAGGTTCAACTCAGGAAGTTAGGAGATATAAAACTGTCTTTAAAGGTCATTATACGGATTAGACTTGTTCTTTGGGGGCCAGGAACAACAGGTGGAAAATGAAGGATTGCAGATCCTCGTCTGGCTAGATATAAAAATCTAAATGGAAGAGACAGGTCTGGGAGAGAAAGCGTTTGTTCTCCCTGCGAAGTCTAAGCAGGAGCCCTTTCTCAGAGCTGTTCCGCAGGCATCTAAACATCGGAGAGGGAGCCAGCCCCTTCTGTGCTCTCTGGTAACCAAGACCCTCCTCCTGTTCTCTAGCTGCGCCCTGCAGTTCTGGCCTGCAGGGCCACCGTGCCCTTGGGTCCCCTTGATGACACCTGGTTTCCAAGTTTACTGCTGCAACTGCCAGTTCCTCCACATGGAGATTTTATTAGGACCTGTTAACTCAAAATGAGGGTTGCAAGATGTGAAAGCTGAAAACAAGTTTGTCCTTCGGGTTCCTGGGGACAACGAACAAGGACCGTGCTATATGCGATCCACCTACATTAGGCTACAAAAGTCTGTACACAGGGTGGTGGTGGTGGTGGTGAGAGTACATTTAGCCTGAATTGCACTGAAATAGCAACTAGCTCTATACCCTTGATAGATTCCCTTTCTTCCATTATACACACTGTCTTTCAAATGTACAGGCAGGTAAGAGTTGCTCTTTAATCTATAAACTATCCCCTTTTAAGCCTGGCACTAAAAATGAGCAGATGGAATCACTTTACACAATGGACAGAGTACAGAAAATGTGTTTGCAAACTAAATTGGGGGGGGCGTCATGTGCTAAATTTATAGAGGGTGCAATTTTTATAGAGAACTCCGCAGTGATTTTTTTTTTATGGTACCGGGGATCAAACTTGGGACCTTGCGCTTTCGAGGCAGGCAGAGGAACCACTGAGCTAAATCCCCGGCTCTGCAGTGATATTTTTAAGGAAAAAACAGAAATTCTTTTCTTAAATACTGTTTCCATTTTAAACCAGTATGGTATATCAGGGCTCAGGAGAACATGCTCTACCCATCAAAGAGACCTGCAAACCCCATCATTATTTTATTACTTCGGTATAGAATTAAGAGGCCTACGTTACATGATTTCTAAGTATACTTCTAAAATTTCAGAAATTCAGTTTTTTCAGTGGCTGAGTTTGTGCAAAATAAAGCAGGATTAAGACTCAAGAGATGCTAAAATATTCTAAAACTGTACCGTGAAACCTGGCCCATCAAATCTGAAATGCCTACACGCTGGATTTCAAAGACTTGGTACAAAAAATGGTGACATATTTCATGACTTTATAATGTTGCACTAATTATATGTTGAAATGATAATACCTTGGCATATACAGAGTTAAATAGATTAAAACGAAAAGAAAAGGGAAAAATATCAGAGATCTCTAGACCCAACCTGATTCCAGGGTGCATTTCCAGGAGCATTTTATTTTTAACCAGCTTTCTACATGACGCTAACTATAAACAGGTTTATAGAAGGCACGAGAAAAAAATACAATCTTATTATGATGGGTACACGTCAGGCCTCATCTCCCACCATAATACAATGGTGATATCTGCAAACTTCAAGTGCTGGCCATTATTTTGAAACAATGATGCGGAGTTGGACTTTGGAATCCAGAACAGCAGAAAGTCCTCACCACACATTTTCTCTTGCTCACTGCCAGAATTCTAGAGACGGAGGCAAGGACACAGATGGGCTGGCTACCTGTGGTCTGCAGGAAGGGAAGTGAAAGTCGATGACTTCTACACCAATTTTCCACACCTACCACCAGGGTGCATCGCAAGAATGGGGACTCAGGCGTGAACCAGTCTAAGGCTAGGGCAGCCCCAGGGCAGCTGCTGACCTCAGCAGCCCCTGCACGGCAGCTGCTGAGAAGGCAAACACCCTCACTTTTTACCTACAATCACAAAGGCCGCTAGGGGTTAGGACCTTGGGTAACCTCAGAGAAGATCCTGCTGCAGCTTCCTGATTAAAGGGGAGAAAACCAAGGCCCGCCCGAGGAAGATGGTCCATCCAGGTCCCAGCTGGTGAAAGGTGGGAGATCAGAATCCAGCAAACCAGGTCCCAGCCCCATGTTCTTTCCACCACACCATTCCCTACCCCGTCTCCAATCTCCAGGACAAAACTGGCCCTAGAGTCTGGGGTGAGATTCAGAAGAGTGTTTTCTGCACAATAAGAAGTACTCTATTTGGCTGGACACAGTAACAACTGCCTGTGATTCCAGATACTCAGGAGGCTGAGGCAGGAGGAACATGAGTTCAACTCCAGCCTGGGCAACTTTGCAAAATGCTATCTCAAAACTTAAAAACAGAAAAGCACTGGGGATGTGACTCAGTGTAAGACCCTTCATTCAGGTCCCAATAGTGGGTGGAAAAATCTCTGTTTGGAGTCTATCTGTGCGACTCTGAGCCAAGCTACTTAATCTCCTTTTGCCTTGACTCCCTCACTTGAAAGACATCATTAATAACTCCTACATCACAATACTGCTGGGAAGATAAATAAATAAACGCTAGGCATGATGTCAGGCACGTGATGGATCCTCATCAATGGAAACAATTGTGATTATTGCTATGGAGACGTTCTTGGACGGAAAGGCAGGAGGTTCACTACAGAAACTCTACAGTACTTTCTCCATTTAATACTCTGGAAGCTTAGTCAGGGCCCCACCTTGGAAACAGTGATCCTAGAGCCATGAGCACTGCAGCCCATGAGGGCAGATTTCTGGCTGCATGGAAAAGGGAAGCACAGAGGAGCCTTTCCCCAAAAGAGGGTCGTTGAGAGCTGGCCCAGGTGTCCAGGCTTCCAGGGATATGTGTTGGGGGGGGGGGCCAGGAGAGGGCACAGCACCAACACAGCAACTTGTGGTTTCCACTCTGGCACCCCCTGAGGCCCCAGGCAGGGGACCCCACCACACTTACTACACAGAAGTCTATTTCTTGTGCTTCACTCAGCAAGGTCTGGCCAAATGAGGGCAGTACAGGATTTCCCCAAGGCCTGGATTGCAGATAAATACACTCAATGTGAGTTTCTTGATGGGAAAAAGAAAAGCTGCTCTAAGTGCTAGCAGTATTAATCAGCAACGCCCTCCTGGAAGGGTTTTCAGCCCCAGGCCAGCAAAAGCATAAACAAGAGACCGTCCACGCAGCTGAGGTGTAGGATAGGATCTCACTTCAGCTCAGGGGGAGAAAAGAAATGTTTCATTAACGGCAATGACCCTGTAGCACCTGACCCTTATTTCGTATCTATGAAATAGTTAAAGAACTGAGATCTTCATGGTGGAGAGGGAATAAAAAGGAGAAAAACTTAAAACTACTAGGCCAGTCTTCAACTCAACAGTTATTTGATCTGCAACATGTCCCAAGGTGATTACTCAGAACCACGACCGCCATGACAGGGGCTCCAGGCCCTGTGTTCCCTTGCCAGAGACAACTAACTCTTTAAAAGCACTCATGCTCCCCCAAAACCACTTCCCGATGTTCCTAGTTGTAGTCTCTGGAATATCACAAAGCAAATGAAACCCTTTCCTCTCACAGCTTTAGGAATAGACAAAGACAGCTCGGAGCACTTTGGACTGCAGGAAGATAAGGCTGAATGAACAGCTACATGGTTTAAAGAGAAAATAAGGACTCAAGAGCAGGCAATTATAAAAGGCACAACCAAAAAACAGGAGCGCAGCAACTTAGCTGTCACCAGAGCACTATCCGCTGCACACAGCCTCTTACTTTTTAACCTTGAGAACATCTTTAAAGAAAAGTATGCCAAATGTGAGTAACACTGGAACCTACAGGCTAGAAAAGAGTCCAAAGAGGGCCCTGATCATGATCAAGACAAATTACATTCAGCTGTCAGCACTTAGCTTCACCATAATACAAAGAGGAGGAGCATCCCAAGTCAAGTAAGCACAGGAAACTGCTTCCTGGACAAGTGGATTAAGTTTTGTTGTACTGCAGGCTGACAGTGTACACAGGAAGAAAAATTAATTACTCTGGATAAAAAAAGAAAAGATCTAGATGCAGAGAATGTCAGAGCCCAAGGGATTCAACCCTACCCTCGTACAGATTAAGGACCTACATCTGGGAGAGGATGGCAATTGCCTAAGGTGGCTGAGTAACTAGCAAAGCTGAAACAAAATCTCCTAAAGCCGCGTCTCTTTTCTTTCCAATATGTCATGCTATTTTGTTTCAGCAAGACTCAAAGAGCTGCAAAACACCCATTTAAATAACCAGTCTCCTCTAAATCGGCCAACTTACAGAAAAAATAAAGCAGAGCTCGTCCCATTCTCCAGTTAATGCCCAGGCTCTCCTCCACCACAGGCGAGCCAGGGGCACACTCCAAACCATATTTCCTATTCTTCATAGGACAAAATTGCAGGACATTTAGGAACCAAAGCTACAGAATGATGAGTTCGCAGAAAAATCGTGTGCGAACAGGGAGCCACACCCTGAGCCAATCTAAATCCCCAGGCACGGAGAAGGCAGAGCTAAACAAGGCGAGGACTCAGCGGAGCTGGAGCGGCGCCTTTCACGCGTCAAGCTTCCCTCAGGAGGCGGTGTGGGAAGGCAAACAGCTGGGGAGCTCAGGGACACAGGGCTTGTGGTCGCTCTGGGTGACCTCAGGCAAGCCTCTGGCCAGCGACTCCTGGGCCTCGGTTTCCCCTACTGTCCGAGGAGGGTGCTGCCCCAGGTGACGCCCAGGTCTCGTAACTCTGGGGCTGTGACCTGAAGTCCCCTTTTTACCAAGTCTGGGGCACCGCTCCAGCAGCCGGCAAGGGAGGCTCGCCCGAGAGCGCAAGCCGGTCCGGGGAGCTGGGAGAAGCCCGAGCCGGTCGTTTGGGTGATCGTCAGATTCCCCACCTGTCAGGCGGGACCGGGAGCCCCAACCTCGCTAGGCGCCGGGAAACAGCGCCGGGACCAGGGGCTCCTCTCCGCCTCGCGCGGGAAGGTCAGCCGGCGGGTCCGGTCCCCGACCCGCAGCATCTGCTGAGCCGGGAGGAAGCGGAGCAGGGCCCCGCCAGGCGGCGACCGCGGCCCGCACTCAGCGCCGCACTCACCGCCTGGATTCCGTCCGGCTCTGGCTCCAGCTCCTGCTTCGGCACAGCCCACCCGGTCAGCTCAGCGACTGGCCCCAGCCATCCTTTCGGCTGCCCGGCAGCCGCTTCCGGGGCCTGTCACGTGACGCGGGAACCCGGGCCCAGGTCACGTGCTGCCGCGCCCCCTCCTTCTGTCCCACTCCGCCCCCCTGCTCCACAGCACCACCTAGTGGCTAATCGCTGCGGCTGCAGGAAGGACCACGTTCCCGGATCGGGAAGGGGAATATTGACGTAGGGGAACTTGGGCAGAGCTCCGTGCGCGGTGGGTTTTTGAAATGCACATAATTTCTACACTTGCTGTATTTTCCGTAACATATCGCAACGAGCACGTATTGCTTTATAACCAGGAACACACACCTCATCTATGGCTGCTTCTGGAAATGAGAATTTGTGGCACGGCAACACTATCTTTCAATACATTTTTAAACGATAAGCAATTTTTTAAATAGATGACAACATTTCACAATGTTCGAGGTGTATGGATTATCAAGGCTTCTCTTTCTGTAGATTTTTCTTTCAAATTATGCAAAAAATAGATTTCAAGTCAAAAGACACAAAGGTCATCATTTAGTAACGATAACTCATCAGTAGATATTAGCAATTATATGTGTGTATATACACCCAAAATGCCAACACTTAAGTGCATACACCAAATATTAATGGGCATAAAGAAAGAACCAGATGTGATATAATCATAATACAAAAACCCCACCTTTAGCAATGGATAAATCAACCAGACAAAAAAAATTAATAAGGAAATACTGGGCATGAGTTGCACTTTAGACCAAATGAACAGAGCAGTGATACAGCTTTTTGTACAAAAAGGAGGGGATGTGTTGTATTGTTTGTATGCATAATGAAACTGGCAAAATAGACAAGAAAAAGTATGAAACTAGTGATCTCGTCTCACCCAATTCTACTCCCCACTTGTCTGTTCTTTGCTTGCAATATCCAGACGACTTACCTGGCGACTTTCAGTCCCTTGACGGGTATTCTGAGAGGCCCTGATGTATAGTAACATAGCCGGGTTAAGTATACTCTCCTGCCCCAAGCCACAGCATTGGCAGCTGCCTCAGATTGTACCGTTGGCTCTAAACTGGCGTCTCAGAGTCTGCTCCCGAGCAGCACCAGCGTCTGCTGGGCATTTATTAGAAGCACCAATTCCAGAGGCCCACTCCCACCTCCTGTATCAGAAGCCACAGGGGTGGAGCCCCTCAACCTGTGCTTTGAGATCCCTCCGTGCCCCCTCTGGCTGGAGTGTGACACTCTAAGATTAACTTCTGCCGGACTAATCATGCGCGCATGCTAACCTGTGTGTGACTATCACCGGCTGCCATGTGGTCCAGGGTCACTTAATGGGCTTTCCCCATCACTTCCCAGCCAAGTGGCCTGGGCAAACCTTTTGATCACCTTCAGTTTCCCCATCTGGAAAGAGAAGCTGAGCATCCGCTTGGTCCTGCCTCCTTCCTTGGGTTGTTTGCAGATTAGATGGGATCCGGCCCTTGGAGGTTCTGTACACACCATGAGGCCTTGTGCTGCCCAGCGATAAGCAGATAGTTCATCCTTCTGCACCCAGTAGTAAGGGGCGCAACTTCCGCTCTCCCCTTCCACCCCGCTCACGCCCATCCTCCAGGGTAAGGGCCCTGAGATGTTACATCCACCCTGTCCAATATCCCTCTCCCTCTCTACCCCTCCTTTCCAGCCCCCTTGGGTCCCTGCTCCGTCTTGCTGCATACTCTGTGACTGATGGCATCGTGCTCCATCCCCTCTGATGGGGGGGGGGGGGGGGGCGGCGGTATAATGAAGGCTTCCTTGTAGTTAACTACTTCTATCGTCAGGCCAGCCCTAGGAGGTGTATAGCAGACGCTGTTGGTTCCCCATCCTCACTTCCTTTACCACACCAGCAACCCTGCCCAGCTACAGTGGGAGTTGCCTGCTGCATTGTACAGTCACTGTCTGCCTGCTAGTGCCATACAGTGGCCACTTCAGGAAGGGAGCAAAAAGACCCACCAACCCCCATCCCAGTATTGGAGATCAAATCCAGGGCCTTCACAGAGGCCTACAAGCCCAGCCCTTCTGTTTTATTTTTAATTTTGAGACAAGTTCTCACTAAATCACTAAATTGCCTAGGCTAGATTCAAACTTGCAATCTACCTGCCTCAGTCTCCCAGAGAGCTGGGATTACAGACAAGCACTACCACGCCCATCTCCACTTTCATCCGGGTCCAGAGAGCAAGGTCTTTGTTCTCACCCAGGAACCTCTGTGGGTGGTTTCCGCAATTACTTGCTACAGTGTAAGCATTTATAATTGTTATAATTTAAAATATTTCATAAGCTGTAGCAGCATAATATAAGGGTTCGTTAAAAGGTTGCAAGTCCTGAAAACGAATTTAAAAATCCTTCATTTGGGAGTGAAAACATTAGAAAAGATAAAACTGCTATTAAGAGGCCAGACAACATCAGAACACGTATGCTGGTGACTTAGGAGGAAGCATCCTGTAAAGCACATGAGCCACAGAGCTGAGGAAGTGAAAAGCAGCCATTAAACATGGATGCCCCTAGGCCAAGCCTCAGCTAGAGTACTTACGAAAAGTGCTGGTGCCAGACCAGTGTGACTACAAGGTGCCTCTAATCCAAAGCACTGTTTGGACTCTTAATTGTGATGTTTGATGATTTCAAAGGAAAGGATGATAAGAGATTTTACCAATAGTATTTGGGAGGGGTAAACAAAATTTATAGAGAAATATATTACAGAGGTAATTGACATATGCAATCTGAGGTCCCGGGAAAAAGTTTGTAAACTATTCAAGATGTCATCCTTCCCGTGATTAACTAGGACTGCTCTGCCACCAACACCAATGCTCTGAGGCCTGAGAGGCTGCACAAGAGGTGATAAATTCTGTAGGGATGCAGATCTGGGGGGGTGGGCATTTGTGAAAATGATTTGAAGGAAACATTACAATACTGTCCAACGTCTGTATTAACCTACAGACAGGATCACAATGACAGGAGTATCATCATACATGCCTAAGACCCAGCCACATGCCTCTCCTTGCAACCCCGATGCTCACCTGGGAGTACATCAAAATAGCAAGCTTTAAACATTTTTTTTTTTTTTGCTACCGGGGATCCAACTCGGGACCTTGCACTTGTGAGGCAGGCACTGGAACCACTGAGCTAAATCCCTGGCCCTATTATATTTCTTCAACATAAGGAACACTGCCCAGTGGTGTGTGGTGGTCAGTGGGGTGCCATAAATGGGTCACAAGGGTGCTGAGATATTGCAGGGCAGTGGGGCATCACAGAGGAGAAACAATTCACAGTGTGGCAGGCAGAAGGCAGCAAAGTAGCAAGCAGCAGCAACAGTAGCAGCAGCCTGACTTCCCTCTCTCTCTTTATATTCCATCCAGGCTACAAGCCTATTGATTGGTGCCACCCATGCCCAGGGTCGGGCTTCTATTATCCACACCCTTAATCCCAGTATCACGTCCTTATCCATATTCACACACCCTAATCTGGCTACCTTTGAAACTCCCCACCTATGACCAAATGAGGCTTTGGGGGGACATCTACATACATTCCATAATACTTGGGTAAAACCATTTCTACTTTAACCATGGGCATGCATTTTTAAACATGAATGTTAATTTTAAAGTAAAGATTGTGTTAGAGGACCCTCCCAAAAGCTTATTGGTTCTCCAAAGCTCTAGCATCCAGCTCACCTAAAACGTGTTTCCAGCTTCTGTCCCTCCCAGGACCCTTACCTTATCTCCTATTCAGCCAACTGCTTCCTTACTCTCAGCCTTGGCACAAGTCCTAGCCAACTGGTAGGTCCTCTAGGACGGTGCCAGGAGATGTCACCATTGCAGGAGGGCTCTGCCCAGGATGCATGATGCCAAGCAGTTTCAGAGATCTAGAGCAAATCCCCAGGTGGGTGCCAGACCTTGCCTTTATCTCACAAGGGTAACCAAGGGGCTGGGGACTAAGATGAGAGCAGAGGCTCCTGCTGCCCCTGGCAAAGCAAACTTAGTATCTTAAAGCAACACACATTTATTACTTCATAGTTTCTGTAAGTCATAATTCTAGGTACAGCTCTAAGTGGATCCTCTGCTTGGGACTCGTAAGGCTGGGATCACAATGTCCACTCTTATCCGTAGGCTTGATGGGGAAGAATCTTCCCAGCTTGTGCAGGTGGCTGCCAGAATCCATTTCCTTGGAGCAATAGTAGAACCAAGGGCCCTCGCTTTCTGTTAGCTGGCTGCTCTTGGCGTTTACTCCTGGTAATGCCTCTTCTACTTCTTATAACATGGTCTCCTCCATCTTCAAGCCAGCAAGGACACATCCAATTCTTCTCGCACTCGCTCCTGTTTTTTCTGACTTCCCCTTCTGCCTGGCCAAGAAAGCTCTGTCTTTAAAGGGTCCACCTGATTGAATCGGGCCCTCCAGGACCACCTCCTTATCTTAAGGTCAATTTTACTTATATGGTAAATCCCTTTTGATTAGTGTTTGATGGGATAACCTTGGAGGGCTATCTTTCTAATTCTACCTCCCACATTAAGATTATTCAGTTTAGGGCAAGGGATTTAGCTCAGTGGTTCCGTCACCTGCCTCGCAAGCACAAGGTCCCGAGTTTGATCCCTGGTACCAAAAAAAAAAAATTCAATTATTCAGTTTATCCAGTCAGTCTCCCATCGACTGCCAGAGTTCCTGCCACTCTGCAGAAGTGAAAACTGGAGACCTAGGGACCAAATTGTCCTGTGCAGTTTTCCTTTTCTTTTCACGGTAAAGTTTTAACAAAATTAATCAAACACTTAAAACTCAGGAGATTCCCTAGTTCTCATTTTTACATATTGAGAATTTGGCAAAACTAAGCCCATATCATTTATCTGAACCCATTCCTGTTGTTGACAACACAATACCACAGAGTGGGTAACTTATGAAAAAATGAGGTTTAGGTTGGACCACCCACAGCTCGAGTCCAGGTTCAAGGGGCCACTTCCGGTGGTGGTGTTCTCACTGACAGTCTCTCCAGGCAGCACAGAGCACCACGTGGTGAGACCAGGAGCACAGGGGAGACCCAGCTAAGCTATCTCCCTCTTGAGATAGGCCATTGACCCATTAGTCTGTCAGCCCACTGATTGTG